ATTAGGCATCCAATTAAGTCAAATTTAGTTTCAGATTGCATTGTCTTCATGTCTTGACCCACGTGCCAACTGTGAATCGTATCGGTCAAGTACAACTGTCCGAATTTTCACTCCGGCGTTTCTATCTAGACAGACTGACGACTGACGACAGAGGAAGTGAGTTAAATAAAAGCTTGTAAAAAAAAATTCATTAAAAAACATTTTAATAACAAGCTTTTATTACTAATGCACTAAAAAGTAGAAAATAAATTATACACTACTATTTAAATTACTATAAAGAAAAGCGTGGGTCACTTTAGTACTTTAGTACCTATTGGATACCTTTACTAATATTTGAGAAGAGACCCACGCTTTTCTTTATAGTAATTTAAATAGTAGTGTATAATTTATTTTCTACTTTTTAGTGCATTAGTACATAAAAGCTTGTTATTAAAACGTTTTTTATGAATTTTTTTCAGTACTTTAGATGTTTTATTTACAATAGTGTTACATGACTAAAAACCATTGCGCGTCTATTGAACGTGATGGCGCAGCTATTGAACCTGATGGCGCAGCTATTGAACGTGGTGACGCGTGTGGTGTGGTTGGATAGACATGCCTACTAATTCGGTCCAAATTTTAATTAATTAATAAAAAATTAATTAGGCATCCAATTAAGTCAAATTTAGTTTCAGATTGCATTGTCTTCATGTCTTGACCCACGTGCCAACTGTGAATCGTATCGGTCAAGTACAACTGTCCGAATTTTCACTCCGGCGTTTCTATCTAGACAGACTGACGACTGACGACAGAGGAAGTGAGTTAAATAAAAGCTTGTAAAAAAAAAATTCATTAAAAAACGTTTTAATAACAAGCTTTTATTACTAATGCACTAAAAAGTAGAAAATAAATTATACACTACTATTTAAATTACTATAAAGAAAAGCGTGGGTCACTTTAGTACTTTAGTACCTATTGGATACCTTTACTAATATTTGAGAAGAGACCCACGCTTTTCTTTATAGTAATTTAAATAGTAGTGTATAATTTATTTTCTACTTTTTAGTGCATTAGTAATAAAAGCTTGTTATTAAAACGTTTTTTAATGAATTTTTTTTCAGTACTTTACATGTTTATTTACAATAGTGTTTTATGACTAAAACCATTGCGCGTCTATTGAACGTGATGGCGCAGCTATTAAACCTGATGGCGCAGCTATTGAACGTGATGACGCGTGTGGTGTGGTTGGATAGACATGCCTATTGATTCGGTCCAAATTTTAATTAATTAATAAAAATTTAATTAGGCATCCAATTAAGTCAAATTTAGTTTCAGATTGCATTGTCTTCATGTCTTGACCCACGTGCCAACTGTGAATCGTATCGGTCAAGTAGAACTGTCCGAATTTTCACTCCTGCGTTTCTATCTAGACTGACGACTGACGACAGACTGACGAGGAAGTGAGTTAAATAAAAACTTGCAAAAAGTAATTACTTTTCTAAATTACTTTAGAAAAAATACATACTAAAGAATGACTTAGCGTAAAACTGAAATGTATTTATAATAAATTTAATATATAAAGCTCAGTTCTGTATGTAATGCATTTGTATGTCGTTGGAATTGTACGATTTTAAGTGTTAGAAAAATTATCGTGCGCATTTGTCTAAATTTATGAGCTAAAAAATTACTATTGAAAGTGTTGGGAAATAATTTTCATTTTTCAAATTATAGTAATAATTGTCGGCATGTTCATTAAACACAAGTTTTAAAAAAAATATCATCTTTTACAAAAATTCTAATTATGTCTTTATTTAGTCCTATAGCACTTACTTCCCTTTGATAAATTAGGAAAAACACAATTACTTCCCTTTATAAACCCATTGCATTCCGTGAAAATAATTTACTTTTTAATTACTTTGTTTTGGTGTTGGGAAAAAAAAATAATTACATAATTAGCGGGGATTGATCAAGTGCAAATGTTGTAGGTATTTTACGGATAAGCTTGGAGTATTAAAATTGTTCATCAAATTGAAACAGGCGCGTTCGTTTAAGTGAGTGCAAAAGACTATGAATAAGTTGGGGTACTATAGTCGTTCATTAAGCTAAAACAGGTGATTCCGCCCCGGGCGTTTATGTTCGCGTTAGTGTTTTCTTTGTGTTTAGGTGGGTTTGCGTTAGTGGTTGCGTTTTGATTTGGTTCGTTTTTGTTCTTTCTTTTTTCGTTTTTGTTTGTGTTTTTTTGTTTGGGTTTGTATTTGTGTTTTTGGTTGGTTTTGCGTTTGGATTTGGTTTGTTTTCGTTTGCTTTTTCGTTGTTTGTTTTTTTTTGTTGGTATTGGTGTTTGTGGTTGGGTTTGTTGTTAGGTTTTTGTTTTCGTTTGTTTTTTTGTTTGTTTTTTCTTTGTGTTTGTATTGGTGTTTGTGGTTGTGGTTGGGTTTGTTGTTAGGTTTTTGTTTTCGTTTGTATTTGTAATTGTGTTAGCGTTATGTTTGCGTTTTGTTGTTTTGGTTGGTTGTGGTTTGGGTGGGCAATGCCGGGTTTATGATGATTACTAAACACACAGGTAATGGTCTTTAACAGAAAGGTTTTTCACAGAAGCCAGAGCAGGGCCTGGCCGGGACGGCTAGTAATATATATACAAGAAAACAAAAAAATAAACATAACACGAGAAACCATTACACATACAAAGCTTTCACGTTTTATATTCTTTTGACCGACTTCAGTCTGGAGGTTAGTCAGAATTACAGCAGACATATTGATTAAACTATTCTAGATCTATATCTAAAAAAACATCAAAACAAACCAATGCACTCTCACACGATATGCAATTTGTTTTAATAATTAAAAAAAAGACTTTTCAAAACCCGATCAGGTCAGAAATGAGTATCCAATGTTTGTATTCTGTGCTTATATATATATATATATATATATATATATATATATACCTATATAGATGTATATATATATATATATACCTATATATATATATATATATATATATATATATATATATATATATATATATATATATATATATATATATATATATATATATATAATTCTCTTCTGGGAGCCGTTAGAAAACAAGCTGCAAGCGCCTCCTTACAGTCCCCTCTATTTCTCTCTATCACTATCACTACCACCCCCACCCCACCCCCACATGGTCTGGTGAGTTGTGGTCACGCTAAATTAAATGTTTACAAATCGCAGAGCCGGGTTTAATGACGGCTATTAGGGGCAGATAATTTAGTTTGAAACGATTTTAAACTTACAGGAGGTAACTAAGAGGTGGCTGCTTTCACGGGGGGGGGGGGGGGGTGTAGGGTCGGGGTTAGGGGAAAGGGGGGGGGGGGGTTAGTGTTTTAAAGCAAATATTTTCAGTGGCAGCATTCATTGGTACTGTCAAATTCACAAATTATGAATTACTGAAAAGTAGAAAATAAAACAACTAAATAGCGGCGTATGATACGCCGCGGGTCGGCTCGTATATATATATATATATATATATATATATATATATATATATATATAGGGGGCCCAGAATTACTTTTTGCGGGGTGGCCCTTTTTTCTAGTTTCGCCACTGGTTTTAATATTCAATTTAAACTTGTTACCTTTTTAAACTAATTTAGATTCACCCCATGCGGATCACCTCAACGACAAAATCATTGAGCCTCTCTCCTATTTTGTCGAAAAGAATAAAACTCTTTGGAGGTTTCTCAGCTGACAGTGTCGTTGAGAATAATGACTTAATGGAGCATGGATAAAATTCAACAAGCATTTGCACTTAAGGCCTAAATACTAAATAAAAGTATTACGTTAGCTTAATACCTAATTTTCGTGACAGTTTTTCTCTTCTTTTTTGACATGCTATGGTGATCAACACTATCATCAATACAATATTTGGCTTGTTTCATCAGTAATTTGTATCGCAATATTTTTCAAAAAACCAATCTTACATACTAAAATTTTACTTCTAGTATAAGCAATTATAATTTTTAATTGCTAGTGATTTTTTTTCCTTACTGATGGTAAAATATTTTTAAAACATTAAAATAATTCCAGATTGTTTTTAATTTAAGGTTTATTTTTCAAAAACAGTACTAAAATAAAATTGATGTTTTGTCTACAATTTATTTGAGGGACAGTAAAGGTAGATCCAGCATGGGTTATCCATCTCTAAAATCTATCCAGGATCGTCTCAATCTTGCCAGAGAGCTTGGGACTGGAATCTCGATATGGGAGATCAGACAAGGTTTAGATTATTTTTATGCTTTGTTTTGATAAACATTTTATTCATCTTTTAAAAAAAAATATATCCAAGTATAAATTTTAATGAACTCTAATGTTGTAATAAGGTATATAATGATGCTTACTGAATTTTGTTTTTAAAGATTCATTCTTGATTATGTAGCGGCTGTCTTGAATATATATATATATATATATATATATATATATATATATATATATATATATATATATATATATATATATATATATATAATTGTGTGAATCTGTGTTACAAGTGTTTGCTTTCGCTAAACATTTTACTTTTAATGTCAAATTGTATTAAATGTTAAGCCATTAAATATATTTTTAAAATAATGTAGGCCTGCCTGTTATACTTATTTTAATACAATTATAATTCTCCATTTTTGCATAGTATCTTTTTTGGCCCCAACAATAGACTTATCCATCATTTCACAATTAACCATTTACTAAGACAATTAGGAATTGATAAAACAGCAATGTTCTTTACCAATATATCACTCATTGCTTTATATATGAAACTTATTTTTTCAATTAAGGCTTTTACAATTTTACCTGTATGACTTGTGCTTATAATAGGAATTAAGATGTTTTATTTGTTGATTATATAAAAAGAGGCGATTAACTGATTGCTAGGAGTAATTTTATACTAAGTCAAGCAGTCATATAATTATAAACAAATATGTGCATTATCCTCTTTCACAGGTTAATTACAGCATGACAATAAAAATCAAAAGCAATAACATGATGTTGCCTGTTTATTGCAAAATTCAATATAAATATTACACATAGCAATATGTATGAACATTTAAATTTACGGGCATAGCAAGCTCTTGTTAATTTTTCAATTCAATATTTTGTTAAAACATTTTAAAAAGATGTTTATTTAAATAATCATTTAGTATAATTAAAATATACTAATATAAACTATGAAATGTTGATATAAAAATCTATAGACAAGTTTAAAAACAGCCCTTTTATTTATAGTATGTTAGTTTAAAATTTTATAAATTATCACGCTTTTAAGATAAAAATTTATTATTTGATTTTAAATGACTAGATGGTTACTAGGCTTACATGTTACATATAATAAAATGACTAGTGTCTCTGTCCACTTTCAAGCTGAAAACATATTAATATATACTTTAAAAAAATACTATATTTACAATGATATGGTTGTAATATAACCTAAATTAAGTGATGTGATAAAATCAGATGACTGTATTAACTTTGCTTCAACTTATAGACACAATTTTTAATTATTGTTGGATATACATGATTAAATGATCAAATTGAACCCTTTCTGTAACAACAATTAGATAAATAAAAAGCAATATAAAGCACAATGATACTATATAAATATAAAAATAATTTTACCACTGCTTATATCTGGTCAGTTAAAAACATTAAGTAAAAAAAGCCCTTCCTTTTCTGACAAGGAAATATTTAGTGTTAATTTGCTTCTTGTGTGAGTTTGAAAGACGTAATTTTGCTCCAAAATGTGTTAGAATCCAGTATAAGTTTTGTACCAGGCTTAGCGAGAATTACATTTGTTTAGTATTGTTTAATTACTTTAAGCTACCCTATCGTTTGAAAATGTACAATAAGGAGAGCCATTAAAGTTGAAGCATTCATTATGACAGCCTACATACTGATTGCAGTACTGATTCCTTTAAAAAGTGTAAATTAGAATCTTACCCAAAAGACAAATTTAATGTGTAAATTTTACTGGACCATAATGTAATTAAAATGCAGCATTTTGGTACATTAATTTGATAAATTAGACTACAATGTTATAAAGTTTTTGATATTCATACACAAGTAAAATAAGTATAAAAACATTGCAAAAGTAGGCCACAATAAATTTAAACATTTTTACTGTACAAGATTTGATTCTTTAGCCATACTGTAAAAAATTCCTTGCTTGTTGGAGAGAAGATCTGCTGGTGTTCCAAATTCCTTTATTTCTCCATCAGACAGTACAAGAATTCTTAGAATATTGAAAAATTGTGAAGGACACAGCATATAAACAAAACTTGGATGGTACAAAAACAGCTTGAGTATTTATTTAAATTAAAAGAATATTTTTTTCATCTTCTCTGTGTAAAAGAGTTTTAAAAGAAGTCTGTTACAGTAGTATTGCTACAGAAATACATACTGTCTTCAAAATTATCACCTGTTGGTTTTTAATTGTGCATTAAACTATTAAACTAATTTAAAAATCTTACCTGTCATAATCAATAACTGTCTTGAGCCGATGTGCCACTGTCAAAACAGTGCAATCCTTGAAGGCCTTCCTAATTGTATTCTGAAGTAGGAAATCTGTCTCTAAATCTACGGCTGCTGTTGCCTCATCCAGTATCAAGATTTTTGTTTTTCTCAGAAGGCTACGAGCTAGACACATCAACTGTCTTTGACCAACACTGCAATGTAATTGCTGCTTTTAAATGGAACAGTTGATTTTAAACTAAACATTAAAAAAATTTTTTAGTTCAAGTTTGACAAACGTGTTAATATCTAGTTTAACTTAGAGATGACTGGTTTGTTAAAAGTGAAGCATACCTGAGATTTTGCCCTCCTTCTTCTGTTATGTAATTGAGCTGACCAGGTAGTTCTTTAACAAAATCACCCAGATGAGCATTGTTTAAAGCTTCCCAAACAGATTGGTCAGTGTGGACATCAAATGGGTCAAGATTGAATCTCAATGACCCGGAAAACAACACAGGATCCTAATAAAATGTTTTAAATATGATTCTTGATAAGGGATTTGTTTTACAAAAAAGATATCCAGCACAGAAAAAAACATGATCCTAATATGAAATACATTTTTTATATACAAGTCAAAATATAATTTTTTTTTTTTTGATAAAAAAAACTTATGTCAAAAAAAGTTGTAAATAAAATAAGATTTTGTTCATAGTTTAATGAAAATGATTGAGAATGTTGAGATTCCTTACCTGGGGAAGTATTGTAAGCTTTGACCTCAGGTCATGAAGACCAATAGTGCTGATGTCTAGTCCATCTATTAGAATCCTGCCCTCTGCGGCTTCAATAAGACGAAACAGTGCTAATGAAAGTGATGATTTACCTGCACCTGTTCGACCTACAATGCCAACCTGTAGACAACAATATTGTTGCATTCTCATTAACCCCTTTTTAATGCAAAAAAACAGGTTAAGATTAAAACGTGATTTATCTTGGCTTCATTGAGCAAATCAAACCTTGACAACCTGTAAAATGGGTGCATTGGAGAGGAGGATGTTGAAGTCAGTAAAGCAACTATAGCTCCCAGTCTCTTCAACCATCTCTCCTTCTCTTTTTTCTTCATTCTTAATTGTAATGTTAGAAGTAATGTCCTCAAACACAATTAAGTATAATGTGCCAGCTTGTTATGTGTCATAGTCTGACGACTCAGATTTCAGCCGGCTTTTCTTTTTGGATTAGCTTCTATAGACTTTGTCCAACCAAGAACAAACTACAAGGCAGCAGTAGTTTCATTTGAGAGTTTTCTCTCCAGATGGGTTGTTCCCTGCTATTGAGCCTCACCTGCCAAGGGGTTTGACCTCAGGACTATTCAATTTAGAAACCATGAGCTTTACCAACTAGACTGTGCTGTCCCCCCCCCCCCCCCCAACCTCCCTCCAAAAAACCACCAGACCATACCAACCAACCAGCTCTACAGATGCCATCCAGCCACACAACAACCTCACCAATTTAATGACAACTGAAACAATGTGGCAAACCTTTTCTCCACTGTTGACTGTGAAGGAGACTTTCTTCAACACAAGATCAAGCTGGGGTCTGTACCTAGTGCTGTAGTTCTCAAACTTGATCTCCCCATCTCTGGGCCAGTCAGCTGCTGGTTGCTTCCCTTTACTGGTCCACTCAGGCTTTTATTCAATTATAAAACATAATCATCAACCTTTGATTTTTAATACTTCTGCTAGATTTTTTATCCAATATTTTACTATAAATCTTACTATACTAGAACAAATTAAATTTACATAATTTTTCAAATATTTTTTTAATTATACAATTTATTAAAAATCTATCTAAAAAATTTCAATTAATATTTCAATTTATGTAATATTTTCCTTTAAAATGTTTTTTTTTTTTATTAATAAGCCAATTTTAATGCCCCTTTTTTGTTAATGATGCAGTTTTAATTTAATTAAGTGCAAAACTTAAACAATTAGTGAGAATATTAAGATTAACCACAGCTGGTTTGTGATTATGACATATTTTTCACATCACTCTGATTAGGATAGGAGGTGAAAAAAATGAGCAAAAATAAAATCCTGGTTACACAAAGCAAAACCATGAAAAACAGAACAGTCATGAAACGTGTGCAACCAGCCCCGTATTTGTGAGTATGTGGGTGAGCCCCACATTTAATGATGGAGAGCTCAAACAGAAAGCAAATGATAAAGCAAACTCAGCCCCATAGCCTGCCACATCACTGGGGCGTGGACAAACCTCAGGAGCGAATTCTGTGTACTCCACAATTCTCTCCACTGAAACAGAATTGGTTTCTAAGTCTGTGAAATTCTGCACCATCAGATTCATGGCAATGGTGATCTGGAAAACACGGACTGAATGTTAATAAAAGGCGCCAACCTCAGGGTTTAGTTTGGTGTACTCGGCTATTCTTTCAATGGATATAGAGTTAGTCTCAAGCTGAGTCATGTTCTGCACCAGCATGTTCAGTGTGGCTGTCACCTGGGGACATTACATTGTGTCCTCATACAATCTGCTGATATGTTTGTCTACAGCTTGTAGATAAACATGTTAACAGACTGGGTGAGGACGCATATACCTCTTTATGGCTTACCACAGAGCAATAAATTAACAAATGCTTGACACACAAAAACAACATAACCTATGAATCTTGTGATGTTACGTACACAAGAATATAGCTCCAAACATGCATACACCTGTAACTTAAAGCATTATATTCAAATACACAATTTTATGGCTGCAGAAGCACAGAAACAACTTTAACTTTTCATCTTTTTGAATGTTTCAAAAAAGAGCATTGTAATTGTTACTAAATTTCCTACTTTTTATAAACATTTTAACACGTTTTTATTAACTCAGCTTCGCGTGGATGTGTTTGTTGTTAAAATTGACATCGAAAATTAGCCCACTTCTGATTGCTCTATAGATCTGAAATTTGGCATGCAGGTTACTTTCGCCTAACAATTTCAGATGCAATCATAAAAACTAGCAATTAGAGACCGTAATTAGCTTAATTTAATTACGCCCAAAGGACCATAAAATTGAGGACATGATTTCTAAAGATACCGACAAGACTGGAGGCTTGTTGACACAGTTACTTCGGCCCCAATCGATGTGAGCGCGCTGGCCGTGATCGTATAGTGGTTAGTACTTCGCGTTGTGGCCGCGACAACCCAGGTTCGAATCCTGGTCGCTCAAGATTTTTTTAGTCCGTGTATTTATAAACACTTAGTCAATTCATACTTAATCAAGTCATTAGATAAAGTAGAAAATAAACTATATAAAAAACTTTTTTAAAAAACACGTTTTTCATGTGTAGCAACGGACTAAAAAGGAGAAAATAAAATACTTAAAAAAAACTTTTTAAAAAAACCACGTTTTTCTTGTGGACTAAAAAGTAGAAAATAACTATTTACATACATTTGATGACAAAAAACGTGGGTCGGGCAGATGGGTCGGGAAATTTGATGGTGAACGTACCCACGTTTTTTTGTCATCAAATGTATGTAAATAGTTATTTTCTACTTTTTAGTCCACAAGAAAAACGTGGTTTTTTTAAAAAGTTTTTTTTAAGTATTTTATTTCATAGATAGGTCATGACATACCTGAAGAGCATAAGTGAGGGACAGGCCAACCATACCCCCTACTATATCACTTGATATGATGGCAAACAGTCCAGCAAACAACACAATGAAACTGCCAAGGACCTCCAGCCTCACTCTCAGCCATCTGATAAAATTGCAGAAGAAAAAGCAGATAACTATTATAAAAACCCGTTTGCTAATAAATGAATCAAATTCTAACACAGTAAAAAAAGAGTTACCACACCTGGCAGCCGAACCAGAGGCAAAGCTACACTTGTTGTTTACATCCACTTGGTTCTGGGAGTCCAAGAAGAACCTGTCACATGCCCTGTAAGCCCTGATGCTGCTGGCGCCGTTGATGGTTTCAGAGAAGTGAGAAAATATTGGAGACCTTGTGGTAGACTCCAGACGCCGGAATTGACGTGAAGATGGAATGTAGAATTTCTGGGTGAACATGTCAAATATAACACTTATTTGAGCCCAAACCAAAAGTTTTTATTCGTTCAACTAAAATAAACTCAGCAGCAGTGAAAGGCTAACCTTCAATCTGCCACAAAGACTTTTTGTTTATTGTCCACTTATGGTTGAATGCTCAAGGAAACCTTAGGTTTAATTCAGTTTCCAGCAAATCAAACTACAAAAACCTGGGACAGTATTCTCTCAACATTTAAACTACACCTATTACAAACCTACTTTTAGTACCTAAGTATGACTGACCTGGAAGAGGACGTATATGATGAGGATTGGGACCACAAGAGCAAGGAAAATGGGGGTTGTGTAGGTTATCACAATCACAATAGAAAGCATCTGTGAGAGAGTCTGTAGGACCATGCGCACTTGTCTGGCTAAATTGCTGTCCAACACATCCACATCACGAGAAAACCTAAAATTATAACAAGAAAAAAATGTGTTTTGGAACATTTCAGATCTGAAGCAACAAGGAAATTTACTCCTTAATTTTGCACCGACTTACAGATACAAAAATAATTATACAAAAACATCTATTTATTTACCTATTAAGTATTCTGCCTACAGGAGTTGTATCAAAGAAAGCCATTGGTTGATGGAGAATAGCATCAAGCATGCTGTTGTGGAGCCGCTTAGAGGCATTTACAAATTGAACATAGACTATGAAGATGAAGACAGCATTGCCAAGGACTATTTTGGAAAAAAAAAACTTACTTGCAAAAAAACTGTGATTATGTAAATTCTAAAATATGATTGGCAAAATTTTTAACAAAATTAAAGAAATGAAAAAATAAAGGAGAAATAATAGTACTTTCAGATGAATAGGTAAATTACTAATTTACTCCAGTACGGTTAATACGTGACTTTAATAGACACAAGTAAATCTATGTGACTAAGTATTGTACTTGTCACAAAATTCCTTTACATTTAACAAGGATACATTTTGCAAGTCTACCATGCTATTTTTTAAAAAATTAATTAGTCCCAGTCAAAGATATGAGTATGTCCAAAAGCAATGGTAAAAGAATGATAAAAAAAACAACTTTACCTTGCACTAATGTCAATGCTGAATACACCCCAAGATACTCGTATGTTTTAGTGGTGTACTCATCTGTGTTTATGTTGCTCTCATTTTTTAGGAATGGATCTTCTGTCCAGTCAGACAGGTAGATACCAGCTCCAATGTTAAAGCCATTGTAGACAATAACGCTCAAAGGAACTATCATTGCGGATATGTAACCAAAGGCTTTCAGCAATGTAAGAAAAATACTAAGGCGCACCTATCCAAAAAAAAATAATATTGCATACATGGAATTTTTACAAAAATTCTGGTGATGTAGGTTTCATGTTGAAAAACAGTTGTAGAAATTTTTAAATGTTCGTTTAAGTTATGAATAATATATTATAAGAAAACTTAATTAAATTAAAAGAGTAGAATTTAAAAGTTAGTATTTGAAAAGTTAGAGGAACACCAGTTAATGAATACTAAAGAACTATTTTATTTTGGAGCATCTTAATACAAATGTTAAAAGGTTAGTAAATAACAATGTTTAAGGTGTACTAGTAAGCTGTAAGCACCACCCACTGTTAGCAGCACTCAATGTAAGCAGCACCCACTGTAAGCACCCCCCACAGTAAGCATCACCAATTTTGTAAGCACCACCCACAGTAAGCAGCACCCACTGTAAGCAGCAATCAATGTAAGCACCACCCACTGCAAGCACCACCCACAGTAAGCACCACCCACTGCAAGCACCACCCACTGCAAGCACCACCCACTGTAAGCAGCACCCACTGTAAGCAGCACCCAATGTAAGCACCACCCAATGTAAGAACCACCCAATGTAAGCTCCAATCACCTTTCCCTTCTCTAACTTTTCTTCCTCTATCAACTGTTCTCCAGCATGTTTCTCAGGCCGGGCTTGTTTCACCAGCTTGGTCGTGTCATCTTCTGAAGCTGACTGGTTAGTTCGACGAGTTCTAGATGAGGCATTGGATTGTTTTCTTCCACTTTGATCTGACAGGGATCTGTTGAGGTAAAAACAAAATTAACACATTAGCCTCAATGAAACCAGAAACTATGTATTTAGTGAATAATTTTATACTGCTCCTAACATCAGAAATAAAATAAAAGTAGAAAAATAGTCTGGCAAGAATTGATAAAACAAAATAAGTTGACCACTTCAAAAAATTTTAACTAATGCAACCTGTTCTAGAAATATACACTAATACAACAACTAGTGTTTCAAGAACATTAATTTACAAGCAACAAAATGTTCAAAATCTATAAAGTAGTGAAACAGTATTTTATGATTTCCCGCTGACAAGAACATTTACAAGCAACAAAATGTTCAAAATCTATAAAATAGTGAAACAGTATTTTATGATTTCCTGCTGACAAGAACATTTACAAGCACCAAAATGTTCAAAATCTATAAAATAGTGAAACAGTATTTTATGATTTCCTGCTGACAAAAACATTTATAAGCACCAAAATGTTAAAATCTATAAAATAGTGAAACAAATAATATTTTAAGATTTCCTGCTGACCTCCTGAGTCTAACACTTGAATATTCTTCATCTGAAGTGACAGCTGCAACAGCCTCAAGCATTTGTTCTTTCAACTTTTGCACTGTAAATGACAAGTCGTGAACATTAAGCCATGTCATTTACCTTTTTTTGCTTAAAATTTGAAATGTAAGTTTAAAAAAAAATATCTAGTGGCATATATTTAAAATATTTTTTTAATGCATCCATCAATATTTATTATAAATTTTAGAAAAGGACAATACAAGTTTTCAAATAGATTTTTACCCTCTGGATCATTGCAGTCATCCTCCTCATGTTCTAACAAATAAGTTTTTACAAACTGGGCAAAGGGCCCATCATGACTCATCAGTTCCTTGTAGCTTCCACTCTCTTTCACTTGACCCTGGTCCATGACTATAATAGAGTCAACCTCAGGCAGCCAGTGGATGCCGTGGGTAACCAAAATTCTTGTCTGAAATTAATGATTAAAAATCGTAAATGGGTGCTGGGAAAAGGGGAGGGTTGAGGAATCAATAAAATAATTTTTTACCCGTATCAAGCAAACTTTTATAGAACCGTTTTAAATAGCCCAAAAACTTACCTTAAACAAAAACCAGAAAGCCTATAGAATTTATTTTCAAACAGCCCTTCTACAAAGTCCAAAATTAAAAAAAAACAAAAACATTTTAGAGCTTTCTTTAAAGATATTTAATTTAAAAACTTCATCATTTTCTAATCCAACCCTGCAGCTTTTAATAACAGAGTAAGTACATTTTCATACACATGTTATGCTCATATATCATTTATTACTCTGTGAAAGACAATTTAAAAACATGTCAGGAAAATACCTTGTTTTTCAACATTCCTTTTGGCCCAATAACTTGTTGAAAAATATGTTTCCCCACATGAGCATCTACTGCACTCAGTGGGTCATCTAGGAGGTAGACATCTGAGTTGTGGTAGACTGCTCGGGCCAGGCTGATTCGCTGCTTCTGTCCTCCTGACAGGTTGATGCCCTAAAACACACACATTGCAGGAATAAACTTTCAAGCAACTGTAAAAATGATAAAATGGCGGGTTACCTCCCAACTGCTAAGAAAGAAACCAAAGAGTTGTCTAAATGTTAGATAGTGAATTTGTTGAATTTGAGTTGTATCTTTGTCTATCACATATATTGAATTTTATGGATGTCTGACAGGTTAAAATAGAGTTACTTCCCATTAATTAGTATAGAATGTAAAATGAATCAAACACTTTTTTTTTGTTTTCAAATAAATAAAGTAATTATAAATAGGAATTAAGCTATACTGACATAAAAACTCAAGCAAATATTATGCAAATAAACTTTAAGGAAAAAAAAAACGTAAAATTTAGAGAACCTTCTCCCCAATTTCAGTCAGTTCTCCTCCAGGCAAGAGCTCCAGATCTGCCTCTAGAGCACAGGCTTTGATCACTTTCTTGTACCTTTTCTCCTGCACAGGCTGGTCAAACAAGACATTGGATCTCAGGGTCATGTTCTGTATCCAGGCCTGTTGTGGCACATAACCTATTGTGCCCTGATGAAACAAAGTTCATAATTTACAAATTTACATGTTGAAATTTTTTTTTCCAGCTAACATAGCTGGGGTAGGATAGTATTTTTAAAGTGTGGGTAAGAAAGTTTTTAAATTAATAAACAGAGCTTAATTTGATTGCTGGACAATTTATTAGCCTACAGATTATTGGTAAAAAACATGTCTACCAGATTTTATGAACACCATTTACTATGACAATAAATGTCATGAACTTCAATTTATAGAACTGTCTAGAAAAATTTGTCAATAAGCCAATAGGGTTTATGATAAATGTTTACAAAATATTGTATAAGGCTGTGCTGAGATAATGATTGCACATTAAAAAAAATGTTTACTCACAGTGATGCTGTTAAAACCATCCAACTTTTCCATTTCACCCAGAAATGCTGACAATAGTGAGGATTTGCCTGACCCAACTTGACCAACAACAGCTACCAGTTTGCCTTTTGGTATTGTAACTGTTATGCTGCAATGGTCAAACAGTAAGTAAGAAAATAATTTATTGCTGAGGTAAAAAAAGTCAAGTTTATATATTTTTAAAAAGTTTTAAGCATATGTATAAGGTTCATGTAATTTTAAAGATTATACAAGGCTTAATGTTAAAGTGTTTAAGTTTCCTTGCAGTCTATTCAAGTGTCTGTTAAATTTTAAATAAGAAAAAAAAAATTTACATTGTTTTATGTTACAATTTATTGTTTCTCAAAAAAAATGTATCAACATATCTCACTTTCTGAGTACAGGTGGCATTGTTCTGTCCCAGCTGAAAGTTGCATTCTTCATGACTAAAGGTATTTCTGGGAGAATAAATGACATTAGTGATTTATCAAACTGAATTTTTAAAAAAATGATATGATGCTTTTACAAATTAATATTTTCAGGATAGTGATTATGCAATACCTTCTGATGTGCCTGTTGTGTTTACTTCATCCAGATCTTCCCCAGATAAATAATCTCTAAGTCTTTCCATTGAGACATGGCACTTGGAAAAAAAGGGGAAATTCAAGCAAGTTAATCAATATGCCTAACATTGAAATGAACATGCATTTAATGGTAAGAACAAATTATAATGATTAACAGACATGGTATATGAACATAAACATAACAATGCAAGACTAAATTAAACAATATATATACTAATTTTCTAATGCCACACTAATAAGAAATGGATTTTGAAAGAATTTAACTAGTTATAATTAAAAATACTGAGATATTCACAGGAATTTAAGTAATATTGGTGGTTCCTAAAAAAATGTTTGACTAATTTTTTTTTGCCATATCTACTGTTACAGTAGAGAGAAAAAGAGATAAAAAGATAAATGCTGTTAAATGATATAGATGAAGACATGGTCCTATAAGTTTGACAGCAGAGTATGAATACATACCAGCACCATCTGTGATATCAACATGGGCAGCGTGTTCATTGGCTGACGTATAGTGTTGAACAAGTTCATGGCAACAAAAGCCTTGCTAGGAGTGAGTGAGTTTTCTGTGATTAGGACAAAAGCTATGAAGGTACAGGCGGTCACCTGAAAAATATCAAATGCAAAAATAAATGTGAGTCACGGTAGCTATGATTTTTCTTAACTGAATTATTTCCCTTCACTCTTCAGTAGCAAGGTTTTTAACAAATCTGTTAAATTTCCTGTCAAAAAAAGTATCAGATTTTAAGAATATCATTACTAATTTTGTTTTCATGATTTTAAGAATTCCTATAAAAACCAAAATACACTTGAAAATTGAAACTAAAATCATTTTCGAAATCAATTAACAGCATTTTTACTTAAAAATAAATTTTACCAGAACTGGTGAAAGAGCCCAAATTAAAACATTGATAGAGTTATAGATAGCAGCTTTCCTCAATTGCTTGACTTCTGCATTGCGATATTCTTGAAGTTTAGAGCTGAATGAAGGCTCCCATGCATATAGCTTTAAAACCTACAACAGAATATAGTTTGGTTTGAGAAATCTAAATGTCATAAGATTTTTAAAATTTCTTTTGGGAACAAAGTTATAGAGGTTTAAAAAAGTGTTTTTCACACCTTTTCATGGTTTCCATGGCAACCAGTACTGCTATTGGTGGCTATATATTATATTTGTCTAAAGGTTAACAACTATTTAGGCCTACATATGAATCTATTAAACACACTGAAACATGTTAAATTAAAAAAAAATTCTATTCTTAAAAAAAAAACTTGAGATACAAAAATAATTCCTTAGTTCACATTTGTTTTCACTGTTAAAAGCAAATTAAGTGAATCCATACATTCCTTTCTGAATGTTGGTTATGTAATAGATTTATCCAAAGTTTTTATTTAACTTAATGCCAATGAGAATCATATTAAAAAATCTTGATTTTCTAATCTTTATAAAACACTAATAAGATTTTTCTAAAGCTTTGATTTACCTTAACCCCATTGAGGATCTCATTAAATAACTTGATTCTCTGATCTTTGAAAAATATTTGTTTGGCCTGGGCTTTTCTAGCGAGTGTTGAAATTCTGGAGTTAGTGGGGATAAGAAGCAGCAATACCACAATACCTGTTGAAAGTATAGAACATGGACTTCAATTTTTTAATTTACCATAATAACTCACCTTCAGCTGATTTATTCACTCTTCTTTAATACAATGAATATTTAACAACATCAATCTAAACCCTGTTTAGCATATACAAAATCCTGAGGGTTAAACAATAATTAGAATCTTAAGACACCCATGTGAAGAATAAGATATGGAACAAGGCGTATCTCAAGAAACAATACAAGAAACTATATACCATAATTTTTCAGGTGCATAAGATAACTTTTAACCCAGGTAAATCATCTCAGAACTCAGGTTACCCACAGAATTGGTATATCCCAAACTGTATTTAACTACAGAAATAAGGGGTTGTCTAACATGCCAGATTGTACTGTATATAGTTAAATTTTTAAAAATGTTTATCGCTTAGATAAAAATACAACATATTTTACAACCTACCAGCTACAAAGGCGATCCCTAAAGTCTCATACAACATGTAGAAAGCTATAGAAATTTGGACGGGCCATGAGATGAGGACATACAACTGGAAGGTCAATTCTTGGAACCTTGGGCAGTCTACGGCCATTAAGTTTACTATTGTACCAACAGTAAACTTGCGTCGTGCCTCAGCATTCATTGTCAGTGACTGGAAAAAATAAGACAAACCTTTGTTGTATATTTATTGTTTTACAAAAAATAATTTTAAGTGGATCGCTTCAATGAAGAAATATTAAACATAATTATCTGTATATACAGGAAAAGCTCACACTTCAAAATGTGTTACAAACCATTTTTATTTTTTAAAAACTTAAATAACAAACCTATAAGATGAGAAACTTCAATTTCTACTTCAAGGTTTAAGTAATTTTTAAAATGGGGTTCATTAATTTGTATATGTATATTTAGGCCTATCTGCATACAATCATTATATTCAATCAGATTCTATTTAGACAGAAAAATAGAGAAGCTTTTGGACTTACCTTCTTATAGACAGCAGCTGTTAGCACAGTTTTGACTTGCATGCCAATGTTGGTACAGTGATAGAAACGGTAGTTGTTCATCATGGAGTTCAAGAAGGCAATGAAAAAGAAGGAACATGCCAGCAAATAACCGTGCCACTCAGGGTAGTCTTCTTTATTCTCAGCGTAGCCAATAATCAAACTGTAGACAAGTAAAATACAGAAAGTCATAATTATGGGCTGTTTATTTAACTTGTGAACTGAACATATAAAAGTGTGTTTAAAATGTAAAAACTGAGTAGAGTTTTCAGACTGATGGGGGAGGGGGGGGCATCTGGCAATGGAAGTAATCTGTTATTTGTCCTCAGGTATATGAAGGGATTGTATGAGCAGAACTATGCACAGCAATCATTACTTTCCAAGAATGAAGTCAGGTACCCATAAAAAATGAGTGGACTTGGGGACATCAATTCAGCTATGTATTTTAAAAATAAGTATATGCATGTATGTATATATGTATGTGTGAATATACACACACACACACACACACACACACACACATATATATATATATATATATATATATATATATATATATATATATATATATATATATATATATATATATATATATATATATATATATATATATAATATATACATTTTTATTTTGTGTGTAATACTGTAACACACTTACTCAAGTAACAAGGGATTGATAAACACAGTCAAGTCCCCAATCAGCCCAACCAGCTGAGCTTTGAACAATGGCAGATAGTAAACTTTAGCAAGAACTTTATAGAGTGATGGCAGCTCTCTCTTCTTCTCTTCATCTTCTGTATCAGCTTGAAGGAGCTGAGTTTTCTCTGTGGGCACCAGATTTGCTGGGATACTCTTTCTTAAACTATTTGTTATATTTCCTGTACCATTGCTGTATATATAGGATGGCTCCTTCTTAAACCTGAGGTTAAAAATGTGAACACATTTTAATGCAAGATAATTTTGTATCAGCTCAACCAACACAAACTATTTTAAACAGGAACTGCAGACAATGTAATGTTTATTTTACATTTATTAAGTTAACTTAGTTGATTTCACAATAATAAAATTAGAGGAGTGGTAGACAATTATATTATCTCATTAAGTTTAAGAAAAAAAATCCCCTCTGTAAAAGAAAGTACATTTCTTTAGTTTTTGTAAATCACTAACTTATTATATTTAGCTCTTTTGCTGTTTAGTTCTTTCAGCCAAACCGTCATGAACTCGGGTACATTGTAACGACATTGCATCAAGTTCGGCACATCAAATATGTCTGATAGAACAACCACCTTCTTGTATCCTGAGTAAACTAAACTGTAGGGGAGATAATAATACAACAATATCAGCTTTTAACTGGCTGGGACTAAAAAGATAAAAAAATATAGATATACCATCAGTCTCTATCATAAAATAATTTTTTTTAAAATCAATAATTGTATATGTGTACCAATTGTTTCTATATTTTGTGTTGCATAAAACTAAACTGATTTATTTATAGCTTCTTTTCTTTGTTCATGCACTTTCCAGTGGCGCACAATGAAAAACCAGTTGCATTATAAAATTAAAACAACAATTACAATTTTTATAACTGATGCTGATCTTTTATTATGGCAGTCAATAGTAATTCTGTCTGTCTGTATTACTCAGACACTTACTTAAATACCCAGGAGAAAGTAAGCCGAGACACAAATGATGCTTTTATCATAGGACAAGGCTTCTGTAATAAATAAATCAATGCGAGTTTTTAAACAATTGCTTTGTATTTTCAACTAAATAATAGTGATTACCTTTAATTTAAAAAAAATGTGTTTGCTACTTTTTAAACTACAAAGAGAAATAAGAAGACATACAGCATCAGATGATGAATCTAGTAGCTGAACATTTGTGTCCCCTAGACACTGAAGAGCAAACTCAGTGGCTATAACTGCAAAGGTCGTACACACAAGTGCAAAATGGGTCTTGTAGTTCTCATAGGCCTAAAACAATTTAAAAAAAAACAACAACATTAACTGGATTTTAAAGTGGAAAAAAAATACATCATATTACTTTAAGATAAGATTACAGTTTTGTAAGAAAATTATTTTAAACAGTTATTTAACAACTTCAACCAATAATACCTCTTGCATAGCTAACGTGTAAACTGGTATAATGTAGGAAACAAAAGTGAGTGTCCAGAATATAAAGATCACACAAGGGGAGGGCACTCCAGATCTTTGTGACAATATCATCAACACAAAAACAAGCAACTGAAATATAAATATCAGTATGTTTTAAAACAAGAATAAATATTTGCATGATAAAGGCCTATAGCCCACTATAGGTTTTTGAAGCTAGTGAAAAACTTAGTCATCTTCCTATGAAGGCTAATACAATCTTTTTTTTAGGGTGATTACCTTTCATTTCACATAATTCTACAGTATTTTAAAAAAAATGCAATCCTTTAAATCATAAATTTAAAACATCTTACAAATGTTGCAGCCCAGACAGATTGAGACAGATAAAAAGAAGGGGGATAAATCTCATCATCATCCATACTGTCAAAGGGAGCTAACATGTGTAGTCCAGCCAACAATGCCAATATACCAGCAAACAGCTAAAAAACAGAAACAAATATAATTTTAACCATAAGTATAACTACAGGTATTAAGAGGCTATATATTAAACTCAATTTTTTTAGTTGTTATCAGCTTTCACTATGAAAGGCTTTTACAAAACTCTGGCAATGTTGATAAACTGATCATCTAATGAGATGTAGGATATAATTAAAAACTTGATATAATATAAAAATTATGTAGATAATGACATTGTTTTTCCTTTCACAGATGAAATATTGTCTGCATTTAATTTACATTTATGACACAGAGGTGTTTAAGAAGCCATACTTGACTTCCAAAAAGGGAGGAATTAAAATATTCACTTTGCTTATAGTGATAAAAGGGACATCACTGGCTTCAAGCTAACAGAGAACCAATTAAGTTATTTCCCCTAAAATTATAGTGTCATTTTTTTTTTCTAGTTGACGTTACATTGAGTTATCATACATGATTGATACCTGCAGTTATCTATGAACACCATCAAATATGTGCATTCTATATCATCTCGCTTTCCAATTCTGTAAGTTTCAAAATATAAATGTTCAATTATGCCAATTTTTAAAAACAAAACAAACTTACCAAGCGAGCTATAGAGATCCATGTTACACCAAGCTTTAGGAACTGGGTGTGTTTATGGAGGTAAATGAGGTGGATCGGTGCTGTCACCCAGAGCCAACCACACGGGGCATAGGTCAAGGCCGTGTCCTGGAAACATCTTGTAAATTCTGGGTACGAGTTGTTCACTAGTCTAGCCTCATCCTGGTTAAGAGAGACAGTGGGATTTATAAGTGGGCAACACGACAGTCCATTGTTTCTGGTCGAGAGAGACAGTGGAATTTATAAGTGGGCAACACGACAGTCCAGTGTTTTTGGTCAAGAGAGACAATGGAATTTATAAGTGGGCAACACGACAGTCCAAAGTTGCTGGCCAAGAGAGACAATGGCATTTATAAGTGGGCAACACGACTGTCCATTGTTTTTGGTCAAGAGAGACAATGGCATTTATAAGTGGGCAACACGACTGTCCATTGTTTTTGGTCAAGAGAGACAATGGCATTTATAAGTGGGCAGCACCCGAGGTCCAATCAAACAAAAATAATAAATTTGGTATCTAGGAATAGCTGATGGCAATAGCCAAAAGCGTAAACGGATGCCTCATGCGGGTATTTTAACAGCACCTCACACAGTAGTGGGGTTCACGCCGGTCTTAGTAAATTACCTAACACCGTTCAACATATGTGTTAATTCATTAATTTGTAGCTGAACACGCATATTGAATCGCCGACGAGTCATCTAGTAAATATATATATATATATATATATATATATATATATATATATATATATATATATATATATATATATATATATATATATATATATATGTATATATATATATATATATATGTATATATATATATATGTATATATATATATATATGTATATATATATATATATGTATATATATATATATATATATATGTATATATATATATATATATATATATATATATATATATATATATATATATATATATATAAGGCCTATATAAACAGCAGGAGGTTTATATGCGTTAAACATATTAGGCCTACTTGGTGATAAGTAACAGAGTATAGAGCGTATAGAGGTTTGGACAAATGCGGGCACACCGTTAAATTGACACACAACAGTTGATGCTGTTAGGTTAAGGTGTGTAGTACTGCACGTACCACTTTTTTTATTATTAGCTTCTTTTAGTTCACAAGGTCAATCCTTCTATCTCTTATTAGCAAATCTTGCTGCTCAGTTTTGACCAGCTTCTAATGCAAACATTTTGAACTCATCGTATCCATTCAGCTCCAAAGACAACACAATATTTATCAATATTATCAGTTTTTATATAATTATATTGGCTATAAAATAATTTAAAGCTTATTATATTTTATTGCATAAGACAAAGCTTATTACAAGAGAGACAGCATGATCAAGTAGCATAGCTCGCTCGGGTTTTAAAGCAAATATTTTTTTTATAGTAAACGATTTTAATTTCTAAAACTCACTATTACTTAAAAATTTTCCAAAAAAAAAAAAAAAAAAAAAAAAAAAAAAAAAAAAACTTTATATTAATAAGATTTGCACAGAAAATGAAAAAAAAAAGCTTTACTTGAATAAAAGCATTGCCCGCTCATGAAATCTGGTAGGTTGATATATTTAAGCGACCATTGTTTTTAATAAACAAAGCTTGTTAAAAAAAAAAGATTTCAAAAGCGTCTAAACGTTTATTATTATAGATAAAGTCTTTGCAATTATTTTTTTTTACAAAACGTTGATGTGACGTACAGCAGTGGAGTGGGGGTGAGGGGTGTAAGGAGAAGAGTACTGCACTCGGTACACGAGCCACACGTTAAGATAAATGAACTTGATACTCGGGCCCATATATACAATATAATCAAGCAGATAAGGACAGTCACGTGCTATTCAAATATTTCCAACGATTCGTTAAATGCCCGGTCAATATCTGGGTCGCGGCAACCTGTGTCAAGCCTTCAGTTCCGCGCCTTTGTTTTATATAAATTATAATGTGTAACAAACATGCTGATGTCATATACGGGCTTTCGTTAAAATTTGACATTGCTTTTTCTTTTTTTTTTCTTAAAAAATATTAATGCTATACAGAATAGGAATAGGTTCAGTTTGCCAATATTTCTGATTTTGATTTTGGACGGAGACGTATACATGTACTAGTTTACTTGCATGCTAAATAAAAGTTGTGGGACTTAATTAGAATATTTGTGTCAGACCCACAATTTATCTAAAGTAGTCAAGCAACAGGCAGAGCAAGTTACGCGAGTGCGTCCAATAGATGTGGGCGGTAGGTTATCGGGTTTATCTGTTATAGATTGAGAGCTATATTTATTTTTTATTTGGGGGGGGGGGGGGGGTCAAACATAAATGACATCACGCTTTTTCGAAACGATTTTTACCTCCCCCTCCCCACCGTCACACATCGTCTCAAAAAGCCAGACCCCCCCCCCCCTTCTAAAATGTCACAAACTCAAGCCTACAACCCCCCCCCCCCCCCGACAAATTAGCAATTGTATTTTTTTAAACATTGATTTCTTTATAACATATTTACTGAGCTCGGTCAACATAGAGTATATTACTATTAGCCAATTTCTAGTACAATTTACAAAAACAGCATTCTAAAACGCGAATTAACAGCTGCAATTCAGTTTCGAAAAATTCCGAACCCCCCTCCCCCTAGGAGTGTGACGTAATTTATGGACGATACCTTGGTAATATTTATGGGATAGCCTACTGGTAAAAGGGAACATATGAGAGAAACTCCAATCCTTCAAGTACTCTGGGGTCATGATGTGATCGCTCGTCATATCTGTCTGTTGTATGGATGCTAGACGGGGTTATGGGATAGAAGAATGGGAGGGGAGGAAGAAGGTATAATCTATTTATATACACTTTGTGTACCCAATTGTAACTCACTAACAAGCCACACCCACATCTCTACATAAACTCTAGTCCCTCGCTAAACTCTAATCCAGGGTTCCTTCCAGACACCTAACTCCAGGTAGGTGGGGGGGGGGGGCTCTTGAAACCTCCGTGGTGTTGACACTGGTTAAAGCCATATATCTTCTATATACACTTTTTCCTATTTCACCGGAGGGGGGGGGCGTGCTCCGGAGAGATGCTTGAAAGAAACACTACTAGACCTGCACCTACTTCGCATTCATACGTCCACTCCATAAATCCTTCTCGCGTCATAAATGAACTTGAGTTAATTACTTAACTAGCACTGGCAAGTATGATAAGAAATTGTCTTTTATCAGACCTGGCTTCTTGAAGAAAATGTGTCCATATCCACAGATTAAGGTTGATAATCTGGGACACCAGAGAACAGTGGTACATCTGTACCTACTTGCTCTACCTACGGTATTTACATCAACAACGTCAGCAAGTAAGCAGATATAAAATACCGCATTATCAACATTCCATGGCCTGCCAACCCTATACCCAAAGTCTCTAAACATGTCCCACTATCCGCCACATTTGAGTCCACCCCGACAATACCCTAGATCCCACCGTTAAGCATGTCTCTACCGAGTTAAAAATGAGTCGTTGGAAAAGCAAGTTTCTATGCTCAACACAACAAAACACAATACAACTGCAAAACAACATTACCCGACACAATATAAAACAACACAACTCGATTCAATGCTAAACAATGCGCTACAGTTATATCATCACGCTATTAATAACATTAATACGTGCACCTTTTATATTAGCAGTGCTCTATTGCAATAAGCCGTCATGAAAGCACATAATATACAAGAGCACCCCTCAACACATCATTACGTTCTCCCCCCCCCCCCCCCCACCTCAACGCCCATCACCGATAGGCACACTACCCCTCATTTTATACTATAACCAACTCCTCTAGTTAGTCTCTAGCTAGATAGCTAACTTAAAAGTCTAGAGTTCGAATCCGGATTGGGGTTGGTCAGTAGAACGTCACGGAGTCCACCCTATGAAACGAAAATATTATTTCGCTGTAGTACAAATAGAAAAAAGAAAAATAGAGATCTAGCGATGTACTTTTGTATGTGTGCCTCTGCCTATGCCTATGATACGAAAATATTATTATGGAAAAAAGAAAAATAGAGATCTATCTATGAAGAGAACCCTAGCAGTGAATCAACCTCCACCGTTCAAAGCATACCGTCCTACGTCGACTTCACAAAAAATTCATCAAGCTTGACAGACCGTCATTAAGCAGATGGGCACCAGACACAGTTAATTGAGCTTTGAACCGGGTGAGTATCGGGAAAAATATGCCCCATCTAATCCCCGCAAACAGCCATGTCATCCCGGTCTGTCAGGAGCTAAGCCCGAGTGAGGAGGCAACAGACTGGGCGCTCTCGTGATACTAGTGTACAAGCCCGTCCTGTGACGTACGGCACATCTAGATCTCATTAACCTGTTTATAAAGAATTGTTTATTCATTTCTAATGTATGATTCAATTATGATTCGACGGTTTGTGTCGAGGTAATTAGAGACGAACAGGGTAAACTGAACCAGGTATGACAGGGCACAATTTCGTTGGATATTTTGTCCGGAATTATTATTTTTCCAGAGATATTTTGTCATAAGATATTTTGTTATCTAACCTACTAGAATATCATTTTCAATGGTAAAGAAGAAAAAAAATAGATTGAATATAGTTATTTCTGCAGGACAAAGTGCCAAATATAGAACTACGGAGAAAGGCAAGGCAGGAGCCTATGAATGTGCAATTAAGAAAGAAGAAGTGGCGCTGGGTGGGGCACACGCTAAAAAAGGCTCACCCAAATGTGACACGCCAAGCGCTTGAGTGGAACCCCCAGGGAAAGCTGAAGAGAGGGCGCCCAACCCAAGACAGACCTGGAGGCGGAGTCTTCTCGAAGAACTGAAGCCAACAGGGATGTCTTGGGAGACAGCAAAATTAATAGCCGGGGATCGGAAGAAATGGAAGCAAATGGTGGAGGCCCTATGTTCCTTAAGGAGCAAAGAGGACTAAGTCAATAAGCCATAGCTATTTCTATGTTTTCTTAATACCCCACCCCCACCACCACATTTAAAAACATCACACAAGCTGTTTAAAATAGGAAGCTTTTCAAGATAATATTGTTTTTCCTCAAAGTTTTAGAAAAGCCATTCCTTCCTGAATGCTATTGTATGATTTATCGGATGTATTTAAAATTAAATGTTTTCTATTTTCTTTGGGGATGGGGGCGGTGGACTTGCTAGGGTGTGCATATCTGCCCTCCCCCCCCCCCCTCCCCGAGAGAAAAAAAGGCCTCCCTGCCTACTGTTGTTACCGGTATTGAATACATTGAATGAATAAGTATTGTATGCATTGACAGTGACGATGAGTAACAAATGTCGGTGCGGCAAGTTCCCTGTCACAAATATGTAAAGACAATATACAGAGGTACCTCGACATACGAGTGCCACGAAATGCGAGTTTTTTTTTAGGTACGAGCTGTGGTCACAGTACATCGTTTACAAAAAGACGACATGTAGCCTACGTGGAAACAAACAAAACGCATTTTATGCGTTTGTCCGGATCTTCATTTAGACCGGGGGAAATGTTTTGTAAGTGATACAATATAAATGGCATTATACTTTCGCTCACAAGGACTCATCAATTAATTTTTGTCCCATCAGCTGTGCTGAAATTCACCTTATGACAGGCAAGAAAAGGTAAACATTTGGAGACAACAGGGTTAGGTTACTCAAGGTAACGCCGACTATGTTTTTGACAGTATAGATACTCTGACCCCAACCCTGACCCGAATTCTAGCCATAACTATAGTCGTGACTACCATTGATCCTAAGCATAACCCTGACCCTAACAGCAGTGCTCTTAACACACAAAAAAAAAAAAACTAAATACGATACTGCCTTATCTGCCGGCGTTGTAAAAAAAAAAACAACAAAAAAAAAACGGTGACTTACATTACGTTACAAGTGATACTTCAAGGTGTGTGTAGTAGGGAAAAAAGGGGGAAGGGGGTAGAAGAGAGCTGTAGAAAGGGGCGTTCATTCTTTTTAGTTTAAAAATGGTAACGATAACAATTAGATAGTGACTTTCATATTTAACCATTTTAATACACCACCACCATCCGAATAATCGCATTTTTACACTTAAATATGTGAACAGCCCAACCTACTTACGTATATACAGATAATGGTTGTATTATCATGACCCATAAGTTGTCTTTAAATGTGTGAAAACAAGACTTCAAAATGATCTAAAAGTAAACCTACATCGATCTAAATCCAACTGGGTGTAGGAAAAAAAAACAACACAAGTAAATGTAAGATTTATAGCACGTGAGATATGCCGTCCACCCCTACCATGTTACTGTGCAATTTTAGGCATTTCTTCAGGGTGGGAAGGGGGGGGGATATGCGCACCCGTAGCACTTCCACCAGCCCTATCCCCAAAGGAAATAGAAAACATTTACATTTAAATAGAAAATATTTACTTTAGCCATAGTCGATCCCCACCCCCCCCCCCCCACCCCCGTCCAGGAGAAGAAAAAAAAATGTCTTAAGGAAACGCCGATATCACCATTTACTACGACAACGTCACGGACATGCTTACTGTCGACTGAGACAGATACCACTGGGTACAACGATGTACTCCTTAACCCACTGTAGCCTATGTTGTAGCCTACACTTGTTTTAAAAACTGCCCCAGTTGAATGATACCATTTTTATCTCTGCACAATTTAAGATATTTTATCACAATCAACGAGTAATTCAAATGATAAATGTGTGTTGATAAAATAAACTAGAGCAAAACAAATAGCGGATTTTATTTCCTTCTTTAAACAAATGACATTTAAAAAGCTAAAACTAAGTAGGCCTACTATTTTATCAACCAGGAAATCGTAGTTACGGTGGGGGAAGGGGAAATCAATAAATGCCGTCACGTTTTTTGGACTATATATACCCCCCATCCCCCCCCCCCCCCAGAAGATGTACCTCCAGCTTACCAACCTGCTATATACGAGATGATTAAACTCAAATTATGCAAGGAGGTATTGGGCTGGATATATATATATACACACAGAGAGAGAGAGAGAGAGAGAGAGAGAGAGAGAGAGAGAGAGAGAGAGAGAGATCTATATATAATTGAAATTGGCATATATTTAAAGTAAATAAGAGTCTAAAATCTAGACCCTAGTCAGTATTATTTTAGGAACTGACATTTTTAATACAGATTTTAGATGGATAGCAGTGATAACTGATAGGCCTATCAACGTTAATAGATAAGAATCAGTGATCATTTCGTGAATTTAGATTAGGCTAGTACTAATAGTCTAATAAGGCCTGCAAAAGTCAAATTATATTACAATGAAAATGCATGATTATTAGTTTAATAATTAGATCTACTTGTAATTTTTAAGTTAATAATAGTTCAATAACAAAAGAGACTGTATTTATATTTAGGCTAATCAGAAGACAAATACAATGAGTAACAATGAAATACATACCCAAAAAGTTGAATTACCGCAGAATGATGTTGTCGCCATCTCATTTTCTTTTTAATTTTTTTAAAATAAAAAATAGATAGGCCTAGAAATCTATATTTTCTATTGGCCTAATATATTATGCATAACGGTCAGTTGATGTAAGTCCAAATTAGATCTACTTGAGCAGTAGTAAGTTTTAATATTAAATTTAAACTTGTTGCCTTTTTTAAACTAATTTTTAGATTTTACTAGATCTAGATCTAATTGTAATTTTAGATCTAGATTCTAGATCTAATCTAGGATAGTAGTATAATTAATTAAGTATAAATTTAATTAAATTATGATTTAAATTTAATATTCTATTCTAAAATATGTCAAATATTTGCAGCTGGACAAAGGACATTAAAAATAAATTGTTATAAAATCGGCACAATAACTGTAACTGAGTTCGGGCCTATCACAAAAAAAGTTAGGAAACTTTACTTTGTTTACAGTTTAAAACACTAAATGAGTTCATAAAGTTTACGTTCGATGATTTTAAAGTTGCGCGTTAGAATTAGTAACACTATACACGTTAATAAAGTCCTTTAACTAATATAAAATGCAGCAAATACTGGAGTTTATAAAACAATGAGCCTCTGTAGATGTGAACCAGAGGCTTTCATTCGAATGTCTATTGTCTATGTACATGTAAAACATAAACTTTCCTAACAGTCACATGGTTTAGCTATTTATAAAGCGGGCTGTTATTGGTTGACGGTAAGTTCAAAGAGTACTATCAGCTGTGGCGGTTAAACAAAAGGGGCGTTAACAACCGATAAAATTCCATGTAGGCTAACACGCGGTAAAAAACATTGATATTATAATTTATAAAATTAATCTAACTATTTATTTACAATAAACAATTATTAGTAGTAAAACAGTCTCCAGTAAGGAACTAGTGAAATGAAATGCCTTGTTAACACACACAAAAACTATTTTCACTTGGCCAGATATTAGCATAGGGATACTACTAGACCGTGTTTAAACGGTTTATCATTATTATCAGCTCACACTAGTATTGTGCTCAAGTCAGTTGACTGTCCCTGAGTCCACCAAGCTCTCTTGGGTACTTAACTCACGTTAGGGAAAGTAAAGGCGGCTGGGCATAGTGCTGACCAGACTATCACTTTATATGTCGAGGTCGCTGAAACAGGAAAACTCTACTTCTCTTGCCCCATAGACCGTCATGTTTGGAAGGGGAATTTTTACTTTTTTTGCTATTCATACATAGAGAACTAACAGCATACAACATACAGCTACTACTACTAGGTCTAACTGATGAGGAAAACTGTTTTGCATAGTAAGAATAGGGCAAATGGTTCATTAATGACATCAAATGTAAGAGTTATGAACAGTGTTTCTTCCAGACTTTTTTTCTCCCGGGGAGGGGGGGGGGCGGACACTGTACATTTTATTACGTTAATTATTAAACGTGCAACACATGTGGCCATAAAACACATTGATAAAGAAAAATGACCATCAATAATGTAGCCTATGTTTTGAATCGAATTTTTGTTTGTTTAACGTGCACTAAAATAAATAAAACGCATTTTAATAACTGTCATATACGGGCCTTCAATTAAAATGTGAGATTGCACTTTTTTTTTTTTTTAAAGACAACCATACCATGCCCGGTGCCAAAGGAGAAGATGCTGGACGACATGGTGTGTGTGTACATTTGGCATGGCGTTGTGCAGGATGCAACAGTGGTGCACCAAAGACCCATGAGTTTATGGGATAGAAGAATGAGAGGGGTGGGGGGGGGGGGGATTATACCCACTTCTAGCTGCCACGTTGTGTATTAAATTCTCTCTCACTAACAAGTCGCACCCCACATCTCTACATAAACTCTACTCCCACCTTATACTCCAATCTTGGGTTTCTTTCAGACATTTTGCTTCGGGGAGGTAGGGGCTCTTGACATTTCCATGGCGCTGACACTGGTAAAAGCCATACATTTTCTATATACATTTTCCCCCCTCCATTTCAAAAAAAAGGGGGGGGGACGGACGGCCGACGTGCTCTGGAGAGATACCTGAAAGAAACACTACTCTAATCAGCAGACCTACTCCTACTTCGCATTCAGACGTCCACTCCATACACCTTCTTGCGTCATAAATGAACTCGTTGATTACTTAACTAGCCCCTGACGAGTATGATAAGAACCTGTCTTTTATCAGACCTGGCGTCTTGAAGAAATATGCGTCCATGTTCGCAGATCAAGGTTGATAATCTGGGACACCAGTGGTACATCTGTACCTGTTCTACCTACGGTATTTACATCAACAACGTCAGCAAGTAAGCAGATACAAAATACCGCATCATCAACATTCCGAGACCTGCCAACCCTACACCCAAAGTCTCTAACATGTCCCATATCCGCCACCTTTGAGTCCACCGCTACCCGACAATACCCTAGATCCCACCGTTACGCATGTCGCTACCGACAGTATTTTTTAAAGAAAAAAGTCGTCGGAAAACCGTGTTTCAATGTTAAACAAGTTATGTTATGAAAAACATGTTTTGTTCTAAGGAGGGGGGGGGGGGGAGGGAACATTGTACGCGAAAATCTCCCACCTGTCATAATTATTTCGGTCCTATTTTTTTTTTCGTTTCAATTAGCTATGTGTTATGATAAGCCTTGTATTTGATAACACAATAAACATATCGGCACTAAGAGGTATGCATGTATATTTGATTAGATATGTAGTGCTGTTTTGTAGTTGTAAAATAGGCTACTGTCGCAGAATTAGACCATTAACATTTTAACTATTGATGTTTCCTCAGTAAAATAAAGGAAGGTGCTGATAATTAGTCCAGCAACTTGATAATTAGTTTCTTCCAAACGAGGAGGCACCAAATTTACTTTGGATGAAAAAAAGGAACTATGAAACTGGAGTCTGGAAGTGCCGCGTACAGTGTTTCTTCCAGAAGAAGAGAATATGGCTGGAAGAAACTCTGGCAGCGTATAGACTCTAGATCTATATCTAGTTAACTCCCTGACAGCTTCAACACAACCAGTCCACCCCTGATGCTTAAAACATGAACTATTTCCCCTGATATAAAAATAAATAGAAGCCTTTACTACATGACTAAAATTCATTAGTTATCTCAGCATCCAGCCCGCTGTGTTCTTGTTGCGCGATGCAAAGATAAAAGAATCACAATCCGCGAAAGATGTAAAATTTTTGTTTTTGATCATGCTAGGCCTATATTTTTTTTAATCTATACCAATTGATTTATTCATAATAATTTCTTCTGTTTCCATTGCCATTTTAAAAAAAAAGTTGTTTTGTGTGTGTAAATGTCATTACTTACCCCTCCCCCAACCCCTATATACAGCCCTAGTTTTAAACTCCATATAGTCTATTGTTATGTAAATTGATAACCATATTGCACCACAGCCCATTAACCTATAGTTGAAAATACATCCATAACCAACATGTTGTCATGGCTTTTAACTACAATGTCAACTACTAGGCCTATTCTCGGATAGGGAGTGACACCCAGTGTTTCTTCCAGGCACTCCCCCCCCCCTCCCCGAAGAATGGCTACTGCCCCCCGAATGAAATTTATATAGAACATTTATACTTTTAACAGTGTCAGCCCCCATATATATTCTTAATATGAATTATATATTTTCTCATTTCGCAAGGTGATAGATATACTTCGGGGTTGGAAGAGCAGTCTTCCCTCCCCTTGAAGAGATGCATAAAAGTAAAAGAAGCTCGGAGGGTGGGGGGGACACCAAACAAAAAATTAAGGCAACGGCCATGGGCGACACTCGACCTAGCGACTCGCCGCCACTGATTCGCACATCTCACATCAATCAGGTATCTCAGCAACGCATCCTACTGGCTGACGTTATTATCTACAACAACTAGCAAACACTCAGCCGTACCGCGCGTCTTGAGACACAAGGACAATTCCTGAGCAATAATTAACAAAGTCATAGGGGCCCACACATTTAAGGATGTGTAGAGTAAAATTTTTGCGCATAAAAGATATCCTAACTCGTGTTTTTTGTTGTTGAGATGTTTAAATTCATCTGAAAGAAAAGTTAAACCACTTGTATTTTTTTAAAAAGCCCCCCCCCCCCCCCTACTCAAGCGCTACGAAGAGTTGCGGGAAGGTGGAAAGAACAGCTTGTAAATAGTTCTGATGTCAAATAAAGGGAGACTACTGTAATGCAATTTAAAAAATACTCATACAAAGCTGCTCAAAAATAGATTTACATTTTATTCACGAGCAGACAAGAGGCTTAATGAAAATAGTCATGTCATGCTTTGATGACGTAGAGATAGGCCTACTCATCTGACAATGGATTATTTATGGACAATTTTATTTATAGTAGGCTTAATACTCATTATTTTTGATAGATATATATCGTCTGATATATTTATACAAATTCATTTAAATTTCATTGACTATATCGGCAAGTTATAATTGTTAGTTTAATTCACGGCAGTTTAGTTATACTTTCTAGCACAGTAGTTCTAATTGTTATTCACGGGGGGGGGGGGGGGGGGGTGTTGGCGGAGGGGGCAGTAGCCTCCTAAGAGATGCCTGAAAGAAACACTGTTCAGAACATCATTTTTATTATAATAATATTAAATTTCTAAAATTATATAACAGCCTGTTTACACAATTTATCTCATTGGTAGCTAGGGAATGTTCTACATTTAACTTATATTGTACTGGAAAAAATGATGGGACACAAACTTCATTTTTTGGGGTTGACTAATTAAAACTACAACAAAATATGTAAATAGTTTATAAAACAAGTAACTACAGATACATTTACAGCACCAGGTACAATATTTCAACTTGAGCGATCTCAAGAAATCTTTTATTACATGTAAAACAAAGCATAAAGTGTGCTGTAGTACTCTAGGCTGACACAAACACCTTACCTGACACATCAAATCATTATATTTTTTAGTCTGGATATACATACATTACAAACAGATAGTATACAAACACCTTTCCACAAATCTGTGAACAAAATATAATATCACCTCTGCATGAAATATATAGTAATATCAGTCTAATGTTGAGATTCCTACTATGCAAAACAGTTTTCCTCATCAGTTGTTTGAAAATGCAGCAGGCATTTATTGTTTTTTAGCCCAATATAGCATTCAAGGTTTCTCTAAAAGTTTTTGCAGATCTTCACACGTATACACAGGAAGATTACAGGTGAAGTTCTGACAGACGTATGCCGCTGCCTTCTCATTTGTTTTTGTCATATTTTTGATGACCTCAATTCGCTTGCGTAAGAAACTGGTGTCATCCAGATCTGTGACCAAAAGGACCTTGTGTGGTAGGTACAATTTGTGGACTGCCTGTATCAAAGCTTGTGTGTCCTCATTCTTCTTGTTGCCCACAATAATGATCTGTGGATTGAAACACAGGATTTTAAACGCCTTGAACAATGACTGCTTTACATGACTGTATTACTCTGAATGAAACAGAGGAAATGACCAGCACAATACAAACCTGTTTGGGGGAAGAGTGATAAAACAAAAGTGCTGAAACAAGTTCAGGGACAGCAACTGGTACTTTTTCAATCCTTTGAGCAAACACTTTGAAAATTCGTTCAGCCATCTTGAACCAGTCATCTCTGTCAAGCATCATTGACAAGCGCAGCAGATTGCCAGCAGACACAGAGTTTGGGCTTGGTTCAGCCCCATCCTGATCTACCAGACATTTGAACAATTGGAGGAAATTTATCTCATGTTTTAAAATTTAGTATCTAAATCTACTTTATCTAATGACTAAACACAGTAATAGTTGGGCTAGGGTCAACTCCATCCTGATCTACCAGACATTTCAACAATTGGAGGAAGTTCATCTTATGTTTTAGTATCAAAATCTACTTTATCTAAGGATCTAATGACTAAACAGCCATAGTTGGGCTTGGTTCAGCCCCATCCTGATCTACAGACATTTTATTAATTTAAACAATTGGAGGAAATTTATCTCATGTTGTAGTATCTAAATCTACTTTGTCTAAGGATCTAATGACTAAACAGCCAACTCCATCCTGATCTACAGACATTGGAACAATTGATTGAAGTTTATTTTTATATGTTTTAGTATCTAAATCTACTCTATCTGAGGATCTAGTGACTAAACACAGCCAGAGATGACATTCTGTAATCATCATTATTTTTGTTTTACATAGTTGGAAGCAATTAATATGATATTCTTACATTAACTGCATTCTACATATGGATCTAATGACAATACAGGAGACTGATCTAACCTTCTTTCATTACCATTACCTTTGTCTTTTACAACTGAAAGCTATCAATTTTATTTTCTTTAATAAATAAATCTTACTTTATATGAGGATTTAATTATCTATAAGCAGCCACAGCAAACATGTTTTAAGTCTTACCTTCTTTCATCCTCATGACTATTGTCCTGTCTCCCTGTGGACTAGAAAAAAACCCGCCATCTTCTTCATCCCAGAACAACTGATTTTGTTTGGTCTGCAGCTCTTCTGCCCACTCCAGCCACTGGTCATCATAACAGCTTTCATACAGGTCCAACAGACCACGAATCACATAGGCATAGTCATCAACATAGCCCTCAATGGGGACAGCACTGAAAAAAGGAATTAAAGAATTTTTTTAGCGTATAAATGCTGTTACACGTGTTGTTAAAAATTGTTTAATAACCTTTTTAAATGTTAAAAATGGTTCATCAAGAAAATCATAAGATACCAAAAACATTTTAAAAATGTATTTAAAATTTTTTCTATAAAACATTCATTAAATTTTAATATCAACATTTTTATTGTTTGATAAATATTAATATTACATTAGCATCTGCTCAAATTTTGTTTAGGTGGGGATGTAACATTACACTTACATCTGCTCAACATCTTTCTAGGTTGATGAATGTGATCTTACACAAACATCTGTGCCCAACCTTATAGTCTGACGGAAATTATATTACACTTACATCTGCTCAACATCTTTATTATCTGATGTATAACAACTCCTTAGTAAATTTCCCCGTTCAGCAACAAACAAATATTTCTTCAAGAAAAGTGCAGCTTTAGCTGCCCTCTCAGCAAGAGCTGGGTCATTCAGAGCTTGACTTCCTCTGGCAAATCCTGACAGCATCAGACCTGGTAGTTCAAGTATAATGTACTTAAATTTAAATTTATGACAGTCCACGAGGAGATAATTGTTATTAACAAAAAAAAAAGACCTTTGGTAAAATCTAATAACATAGTATTACAAATGAGAAACAATTTATGATAAAAATGACTTAAATTCGTAAGCATTCAAAAACATTTAAAGATAGTATAAGAGACAACACATGAGAAAAAACCTATTTCAGTCTTAATTTCTAGCACCAGGTGTAAGAAATAATAAGAGATCCAGATTCAAACTTGACAATAAACATTAGTAATCTTTCATAAATAAATAAAATTAGAAAGTATTTCTTTATTAAATAAAAACTGAAGCTATATGAATACTGTATAGATATCTATAAACTGTACAACTGATGTTTAATTTACAAAACTTTTAACAAAAATAAAAAATAATAATGGGTTACCATTCCAGGCAGCTACCATTTTATTGTCCAGGTGTGGTTTAGGTCGGGTTTGTCTAACATAGTGTAATATTTTCTGACACTTGGCCAATGCCTCTTTTACTGTGTCCACTGTTAAGTTAAACTTGGAAGCTGCTTCCTCGAGGGAGGACGAAACAATCAAAACATTTTTTCCTTTCAGCTCATCATGTGGATCCTTTATTGAACAAAATATGAAATTAAAGCCCTTAAAATAATGCAAATTACTTAAAACATACATACGCTTTTAATCAAGCTTTAAACATACACATTAAAGCACACACATTTCTAACAGATATTATTTTAAATATCAGATAAGTACAAGAAAAAAATGTCTGAAACCAACATTGTAAATTAGCAACAACACAATGTATTGAGTAATTGAGGACTAAATGAAAACTGAATTAGAATCCCTGAAATAAATGAAAGTAAAATATTTACTTGAAGTGGGTCAACATTTCCCCTTGCTTTGATACCATAGTAAAAACAGAAAACATCAGCTAATGTAACATCAGAAACTGTGTCAGACAGGTGTCGCTGTATCTCTTCCTCCTCCCAAACACAAAAGGCACCTTCTTTCTTTGTACTTGATGTGGTGGTAGGAAGAGAGTCTGCATCTTCTGCACTGTAAAATCCACCATCCTAAAAAAATTTAGCATTTTAGTTTTAGTAAAGTAAATAATACTTATGAAAAAGGTATCCTAGTTTTTTAAAAATCTTTTTTTCAACTTTTAAATAGCACAAAATTGTTTTATAATGAAACTTACAGGGTGACTCAAATTTTTCTCAACATAAGAGTAAATATCACGAGCTATTTCAGCAAAGAAATCATCTTTGGTAATCTACAAGTAAAAAATAAATTACAGGAATTCAGACAAGTATGTAAAAATTAATTTTAAAAACTGTTTATTAAACATAGTTTTTTTAAAATTGCAAATATGTCAACCATATAAAAACATGAAACAATAACCAAATTTATTTTGTCGGGTGCAGGTCATATAAAGGGAGATAATAATTATTTATTATTACCTGATAAGCATCTGAGTAGGAAACTGAGAGCTGTCCCTGATCGTACAACATTTTTTCAAAGTGGGGTACGTGCCAAATCCTGTCAGTTGAATAACGATGAAAACCCTTCAGAAAAAAATAAAAGCATGTTAACAAACTTCAACACAATAAACATTTTGTAGGTGACAAAAGATTAACTTAAAGCATCATCTTTTCCTTTTTGTGCCCAAGACACATGGGGCCACTACAGAAAGCTTCTTTCACTTTTTTTGTTCACCAGCAATTTTCCTGGCAGTCCCCCATGACAGTCCTGCCTCTGTCAGCTGCTTCACCACCTTGCACCTCCACATCTCCCTTGGCCTTGGCAAGCTGAGTATTTAACAGATAACTTACAGTGTTGCACCAAGTTAAAAATGTAGGAGGAATACCTGAGAAATATGATCATGAATGCCACCATCTGCCATTTTTCTTAAAGTCAGCAGACACATGTGTAAGGCTTGTAGTCCTTCATCGCTGTTAGGACCGTGATGGAATATACGGAACAACAGGCTGAAATTGACTGAATAGAAAAATAATTGATTTCTAAAATCAAATGTATTTATACTACAAGTAGGCTGAAATAGATACATTAATATATATATATATATATATATATATATATATATATATATATATATATATATATATATATATATATATATATATATATACTTTATAGCTGTACTTAGACTATAAAGAAAAACTTTCAATATGCTACATGTTTAAAATGTTTACAAAAATTCTATTTCTATCAACAGCTGATGCCTCACCTGGCTGTGGAAACTTAGGAGCTTTCCCAAAACCTCCTTCATCTTTGTCAAACTGTTTGTCCAGTAGCTCAAAGCACTTAAAGACTGTATCAATGGCTGGCACCGCTCCACGGTTATGATCAGACACATGCAACTGCTGCATCATTACATCAATAATTTGTGTTCCCTGACCTTCTATTTCTTCACGGTTTTTCTGCCACTGAAGAAAAGTGAATGACAAAACTTAAACTATTTGGGTTAAAAATTTGTTAAGTGCAGTATCAAGATGATCAAGTTATTAACTTTAATATTAAAAAAAAATTGTTTATAGTAAATTGCATCACAAATACCTGTTGGGTTATGATATTTAAAACAGATTTGAACCCAGGCTGGTTGTAATATCTGTCCTCCGGAGGAAAGTAAGTGCCACCTACTATGGGCTTGAGGTCAGGGGTCAGCCAGACACTCATTGGCCATCCTCCACTTCCTGTGGTTGCCTTACAAGAAAAAACAAAGCATTAACTTAAAGAATCCACAAATAAATACACACAAAAGAATATATTTTAGTTGGATTTCGTTACAGTTAAAAGATAAATGATAATTCCTATATATGCAATAATTTAAACTTTATTACAAAATGAAACATTTTAAAGAGCTCCATACCTGTACAAATGTCATATAGACCTTATCCACATCTGGCCTTTCTTCCCTGTCAACCTTGATGCTAACAAAATGTTTATTCAACAAGGCCCCAATTTCAGGGTTTTCAAATGATTCTCTCTCCATCACATGGCACCAATGGCAGGTTGAGTAGCCAACAGATAAGAAGATCGGCTTGTTTTCTTCTTTAGCTTTCTTGAAAGCTTCATCACCCCAAGGATACCTGATAAATATTTAAAGCCTAAGTTTAATTTAACAATAAATATTAGCAAATACAATTGTTCAGTTTATAATTATTTAAGGTTTTAAAAAAATGCAATAAAACAATAAGAGTGGAACATATCAAATCTAATGTAAGTGTCCTGCAAATAAGATAAATTAGGTTGCATGGATACTGTTAGGAAAGGGGAGAGATAAAGAATTATAAATGTCATAATGATCTCCCTTTAAATTTTTTTAAAGATGAAGCAACAATTACCAGTCAACTGGATTGTGGGCATGCTGTAACAAATATGGAGATTTTTCCAGTGCAAGTCTGTTGGCTCCATGTGGTATGGTAGACATGGCTTGATAGATGATAGGAAATCTGTAAACATGAATTTGATCTTAACAAACAAGTAAAAAAAAAAAATTATTTCATACTAGGTGATGTATAAGAATATTACTGAAAAATGGGTATACAAACATTTAAAGTATTGCTTGAGTAGACATGGATTAAAACTGAGTTTTGTTGATCACAAACACTCAAACCAACAACTAGCATTGTGGCGTATGTAAAAGCTTGTAAAAAATAATTCACTTATGTAAGTAATTGATGTAATTATATGATTTACCTAACAAATGTTGTATTAAAACTTTTCAAAAGTTGTAAAGTACTCAAGTGTCTTCTGTTGAAGCTTCTGTTGTCTTTATGCAAAGAAAAATTACATTTTTCCAGACACGTGCTCAGTTTCCAATCATGCTTCCAAAAATGATATTTGCTCAAGGTAGAACTTGGTTTTTTATGACATAAATAAATTCTCCTTCCAATAAGTGATTTGTTGGCCAGCCATTTTACTGCAATTATCATTTAAATTTTTGGCTTAATCAGCTTTATAAAGGAATCTATTGTCAGGTGTAAACTGTAAAATTAGAAAATAAATAAAATATTTTAGAACTAAATATATGAATGTATGTTCTAATTTAGTTACACTAAAACCTTTAAAATTGATAACTAACGGTGAATAGTTATAGTGAACAGGAGATGAACAGTAGATGAATTTTAAAATAGTGAATATGTAGGCCAACTAGCTTGCATAGATTAAGCAATGACAAGAAGTCTAGTAATAAATCTGAGCTTTTTATTTTACTAGTATATTTTTCTAAAAACTTTTTATAAAAATAATCAATTTTAGTTACTAATCTGCATTGTATTTTGTATTGAGAAATACATTATTAAATAAAGCAGGAGTTATCTCCCCTAAACTTTCTCAAATGTTCTTATATAACACTAGAGGGGATGGCAACTGGGGATATAGACATTATTTTTAATCAATTTTCAAGTACTTAAACTTTTAAAAATTAAATAGAATCTTGATGAAAAAAGAATTCTGCACCAAGTGAACAGTAAATAATGTGTGTATATTAGTGCAGAACATTGTTAGTTTTGTTACTTTATGCGTTTTTTAAGAAAGCAAAAATAGCATAAAGTACTACTCACTCGGTTACCAGAAATTACTCAAAATTTATAAGAAAACAGAGAATTAGATCTTTTACTGATATGTAAAATTTTATCTATTTATCAGAAACAGTACTCAAGTTATAGGCTTTTGAAAAACCGAAAGTAGAATAAATTCCACTTCCGGTTACCGAAATAGCTGAAAGTTGATACACAACTACAAACTTGATGTAATACTTTAATATGGGATTTCATCTACCTAGCTCAGGGCTAGCTGTAATGGTACACAAGTTCACAGATATACAGACAGAATTGCAAAGCCTTGATTACGCCAAAATTTTGATAAATCTGGATTTCGAGCTTTTTCCCATTTAAAAGAAGTCCCCTATATATACTTTAATACTCCATTTATGAAGAAGTACAGAGGTGTAAAACTATGAAAACTGTCAAAATTAGTTAATTACATGCAATTTGTGTGCATGACTACAGTACTTTGTCTTTACTCTGTAAGTAGTGTATATGAGAAAGTAAAAAAAAAGGCTAATCTCCATTAATCTTCATTCCGAATCATTAGCATCACCAGTGTTTCTTCCAGACTTTTTTCTATGGGGGGGGGGGGGGGGGGGCACTTGAAATTTTCGGGGGTGGGGGGGGGTGGTAGACTTTCTTCGGGGGGGGGGGGGCGGACACAGCTAAAAGTATATATATTAATATTTTAATTAATATTTTCTAGGCCTATATAAATTATATAAATTTCATTTCGTTCGGGGGGGGGGGGGGGGGGGGGGGGGCAGTAAAAAATTTTCAGGCTTTGCCCCCCCCCCCCCCAAAGAGATGCCTGGAAGAAACTCTGTGTATCACCTGCTGGTCAGCATCAGCAGGGTAGGGTTGTTTCCATCCAGCAGTTTTATATTTAATCAGGCAATATCAGGTCAGGATGCTTCCAGGTCGTTCCTCACTTTAACTTTTATACTGAGAGTATCTAGAATCTAGATCTAGACTAGACTAGATCTAGATGTCTAGATCTAGTTTAAGTTTAGTAGTTAAACTTAAAAGACTCTTAACTTGAGTGTACTTACCTAAAAAAGATAAAATTAAAATAATCGTGTCCTCGGCTTACTGCTATTGCACTGTAGTAGTAGTGACTGTAGGCCTACTGTTTACTCCGTCGTATTCTTATTTTGGTTCACTTTAAAAAGTTATTGTTTGGTTGATTTCGAAATAAAAGAATTTTGAACCTTCTCATTTGATTTTGCCCATTTTTTCCTTCTAGATCTAGACCTAGAATCTTAGTGTATTTTATTTTCACGTTATTATATTAAGACGCTAGATTTAGATTTGTAGATAGTCTATTATAATTTCTCTTGATTGCAGCCCTTCTTAAATCATACTCAGCTTTTGCTTTAAATGATGAGATTTCTAGATCTAGATAACATGAGCTAAAGTGAAAAAGAATAAAATGATCTGATATATTAAAAAAAAGAAATGCTATACTAGATAAATTATATATTAAAAGGTGATTTGATGTTTAACAGTCTCTGTGGCGCAATCGGTTAGCGCGTTCGGCTGTTAACCGAAAGGTTGGTGGTTCGAGCCCACCCAGGGACGTTACTTTTTTGTTCTGCTCTTTTTCTGATAATTTTAATAATATTCTATGTGTGCCTGTATAAAAAGACGATGGAATGATTAAAATTAAAAAATAAAGCTAGCTGTGAACGTAAAAATATCTCAAATATTTTCTATTTAGGCCTATATCTGAATATAAAACGTTACCCAGCAACAACAGCATGGAAGTGATTTCGCATATTTCACGTAGATCTAAATCTAGATTTAAAAAAGCATTATTTGACATTTACAGGGCGGTGATGCGCCGTATAATGAATGTTTACATTCGTTTGAAAAAATACAAACTCAAGATAGACACCCCCTCTCCCATAGGCTTAATAGCTAGGGGAGGGCGGGTGGGACGGCCGCATCTAACGCTCTTGAAGAGGAGGGGGGACGGGGAGGACGCCAAATGGGGTAGACAGTAAAAATTAAAAGCTAATTCTGAGCGTTACTTTAAAAAATACAGTCGAAGTTATTAAACAAAAATAGATTTCTTATTTGATCTAAGGACTTATGAAACCGATTTCTACATCCACAGTGTGGCACCAAAAGAAAAACTGTTTAGTGACCAGAGTTTCTTCCAGGCATCTCTTCGGGGGGGGGCTCCCCCCCTCTCCTCGAAAAAAGTCTACCGCCCCCCCCCCCCCCCCAAACGAAATTAAATTTATATAATTTATATAGAAAATATATACTTTTAACAGTGTCCGCCCCCCCCCCCCCCCGGAGAAAAAAGTCTGGAAGAAACACTGTTAGTGACAGTAACTGAACTGGGGAAAAAAAGTACCCCGACTTTTTATGCCAATGTGAATGACTATATATATAAAATAAATGAAGGGGGGGGGGCAGTGTTTCTTCCAGACTTTTTTCTCCGGGGGGGCACTTAAAATCTTCGGGGGGGGGGGGGCGGTAAACTTTCTTCGGGGGGGCGGACACTGTTAAAAGTATATATTTTCTATATAAATTATATAAATTTCATTTCGTTCGGGGGGGCGGTAAAAATTTTTCGGGGGGGCGCCCCCCCGAAGAGATGCCTGGAAGAAACTCTGGGGGGGGGGTGCAAAATTGACAGTTCGCCCCGAGCGTAGCTAGGAGAGGACGGGTGGGGCTTATTTCAATGTTTTCGACATCAACTGTGTGACGCTAAAAAATATTTCAAATTTATATATATATATAGTAAGATATAGTGTCAAAGTGACTACCCAGCTAACACAGTATGTAATACCAGGGTCGGCCCAACGTTGGCCCAATGTTGTAATCATGGCCAAACATTGGACAAGCTTACGCCAGGGTACAGCCAAGATTTGTACATGCTTGCATCCCTTGATACCTTGATATTTAACCGTTTTTACCTTGGCTGCCAAGATTACACTGATTTATGGATTCACTGCAGAAATTTTAGTTAAATATGCTTGTTAAACTTAATATATGTTAACTAAAATTAATTTATCTTTTAATATCATGCTCTAATGTAAACATAGCATCAATAACAGACTACGTTGCATGTGTTAAACATTTTGTTAATCTTTTTAAAATTGTGTGCGCTACTGCCACCGGCCCCCTGTCGCCCATTGTCCCTTTGTTCACATTCCTTCCTATTGTTCGCAAGCCAGCATCCCGGTCCTGCGCCATTTTTCTTAACAAAAGACTTTGTATCCAGTCACAGTGAAACAGGTAGGCCCACTGTAGCCATTTTAGTTCAACAGTGAGAAGTAGTATAACTGTATTTATGCAGAATCTGGAAAACTCGTATTTTTTTGTTGGAAACTTTAACTTTATGGGCCTAAGTCATCAAATAAAAGTTATAAAAGGTAGTTTATTTGAGGTAATAAAATGAGCCTAGATCTAGATCTAGTCTAGATCTATATATTAATAATACTAGAGTCTATATTCTGTTTATTTTGGCATTAGGCTATAATAACATTTTACAATAATCTCCTTTATGATAGATCTAGATAGATCTAGATTCTAATAATACTAAATAACTAAAAATCGTAATCAGAGGGCGGTTAATTTTGACAGCACTTTTTTTTTGTATTGAAAAGTATGCAAGTACGTTTGGGGTTATATTGATTATTGATAAATGATAGATCGATGTATTTATTGGTTTTCAACTTTAGGTATAATTATCACGCACAGGGAAAGGGGGGGGGGCTTAAATGTTTATAAATTAATAAATAATCATTCACTTTAACTTTTTAAAAAAAACTTAATTTTATTGTTCTAGGCCTATTTGTGTAAGGATTTGAAACTGTCTTTAATAATTAATTCAGAGAGAGAGAGAGAGAGAGAGAGAGAGAGAGAGAGAGAGAGAGAGAGAGAGAGAGAGAGGAACAGTAGACACAATTATAGAACAAATTTCTACATGTTAAACAGTGTATTTTGATAGGTATTAATTTTGAAAAAAATTAGTCAACTAGAATTCTAAATTGATTCAAGATTGTCATTCAAATTTCTATTACTGTTACAGCTCCCTATGGGAGAATAAGATGTCATCATCATCACTCCTTTGTGGCCCCTGTTTTTCCCTGGGGATTCCAGTCTAATGCATGTTTTGATGAATAAGATGTAAGTTGTGTAAATAGTAGTGTGGAGACCTCAGAGCAACACTTAATTTCATGACCAACAGCGATAAGATGGTACTATTAGTAAGCCATACTTAATGATCAACACTACTCATATTATCATATAGAGGACAGAGTAGGCAAATGGTTGAGGACACTATTGCTAAACATAAAGCCAAGTTAGTAGTACATTCATCAGTTCACCTAAGTCTGATATATACCCAATTTAAGACTATGAAATAAAAAAGGTGGCTAGATATAGTGTTGACTACACAATCCTTTATATACAGAGATCAAATAAACAGAGATACTTAAAAATTAGTATCTAATCTGGCTATCATTTATTGTATCACTCACTCATTTTATTATTATATTTAATAACTAAGAATGCCATTTATTTGCAGGCCTCCAGGTGTTGTGTATATCAATCAGTCCACTGGAGATATATCAATCTTTTAATAAATTATAAGGTCCCCACTGCTTGATACTTCACCAAATACTGGCTACACCAGAAAATGACTAAATGTTCTTAACACTTAACAACTGTAAGTTTACATTGTTTCAAAGTGAATAATAATTTTCATTTAGTAATTTTTGCTTGCATGTAATGATCAGCATGTGTAGTTAATGCCTTTACTGATATTAGTAAAATAATTTCAGACCACAAGCATTACTTCTGGGTCACTCTGAAGGGTCTAATCGTTCAATTACTGAATTGATAAAGTTGATGAAATTGCTCAAAAATTGTCTGGCACCTTCTTAACTCAGAGACATAGGGTAAGGGGTTTATAATATTTATATACATACTATTATTTTTTTTTATTACCAGGTCTTTTTTTTCACTTTTGTTTATAAATAAATATATATATATATATATATATATATATATATATATATATATATATATATATATATATATATATATATATATATATATATATATATATATATATATATATATATATATATATATATATATATATATATGCAGTATAAGTGTTACCTGGGTAGCATGAACACCCCAGACCACCAGTCTTTATACCTATATAATATATCGTTACAAGGTAGCAAACATGATGTTAGGGGCCTCTTGTTGTATGTTCAGTGCAGTGCAAAATAAAATAAACATAATAAATTTAGTGCAAAATGAGCAGTGTATGGTTGTAATTATTTCATAAATGACTTTTAGTGTGTAACTTTTCTTTTTTAGAATGTGGATGGATTATGACATACCTTGCACAAATCAACAACCAGGCTTTTATTGGATTTGAATCCCAAAGGAAAGAGAAAGTTTGTTATCCAAAACAAACATGGAAAATATCAGAAACCAACAAAACACAAGCAGGCAGAGTGTTATGGACACAACTTTGGGGAATCTCCTAAAACCAAGTATAAAAATAGAGAGGTGTGGTTGTGTCTCTCAGCTCCACAAGGGTCCACAAGAATGAGGACAACAGTGATTTTCGTAATAATTTTAGATCAGATTTAAAAAAAAAAAATTTGATCAGATGGATCAGGTTAACAGTTTAATACATATTGCATTTAAGTGCTTAACGAAAAGAAAAGATGCTCTTACCAAAATAGTCTAAGAAAAATGCTGATTTTAAATTAATAAATTGTTTCCTTTTGTAATAATATATAATTTAAGTTGGCATTGTATGTATGTTTAGTGTAGATTTAATGCCCTAAATGAAATATACAATTGACATTTTTTTCTTTAAAGAATTAGTTGCAAATTTCTTTCATTATTTAGTTTCACTGTACAATCTGAAAAAGCTTGCAACATTTGTATTGACAATACTTCTGCTGGTGATATTTATTTCTAATTAATGAAGTAAATTAATATATATTCAGTTTACTATAATTAAATACCTCATACTCGAGACAAAAAAACATTTATTGAATATCGCAGTGATATTCCTGTTCTACACAATGCGTATAAACCCTCGAACCATCTGTCTTCTGAAAGATTGTACATTTTGTATACACAATGGCATTCATTTCAACACTATTTAACCACAATTATAATCTAGAGATCCTGAACATATTTTCGTTCTGTTATTTATGGACAAGGCAGACTGGTCCAGCATTAAAATGTAAACCTTAATTAGAATACTTAAACGAGCTATGCAATTAAATGTTGTTAGACAAATATTTTATACTTTTTATTTTTAATGTTATGTTTACGTATCATAGTACAAGACAGCTTCTGTATTCTTGTACAGTAAATTAAGTTTTTACATTAGTTTAATTTAAACTGTAGGCCTGCTTAACATCTGTTACATTATATGAAAATGTTTTGTATATTTGTTTTAATTTGTTTGTACAAAAGTCAAAATGAAAGTTACTACACTATTATTTACATATTCTTTTTCAATCAATACTTTATAGTATAGTTATAATTTTCTTACAATTGAATGGATGGTATAATACAGATTTTAATAGATGAGCAGTTCTTGTGTATGTATTGCTGCTTTACTACATTTTGATTAAAATTTCTTTCACATTTTGAAATTACCTTTGTAAATATTATGACTGATATGAGAATGGATCTTTTTGTATGCTAAAAATAAAAATTTGAGCCAAGATGTAGCCAGGATATAATACAGGCTGAGCCAAGGTATAGCCGAGATATAGCCATTATTGGGCCAAGATGTAGCCAGGATATAATACAGGATGAGCCAAGGTATAGCCAATATTGGGCCAAGATATAGCCATTATTGAGCCAAGATGTAGCCAATATTGGGCCAAGATGTAACCATGATATAGACAATATTGGGCCAAGATATAGCCAATATTGAGCCAAGATGTAGCCAATATTGGGCCAATATGTAGCCGGGATATAGCCAATGTTGGGCCAATATGTAGCCGGGATATAGCCAATATTTGGCCAAGATCTAGCCAATGTTGGGCCAATATGTAGCCGGGATATAGCCAATATTGTGCCAACATTGCGCCAACATCATGCCGAGTTTCACTACCAATGTTTCGCCAAGGTTAAGCCAATGTTGCAACAAGATGTAGCCAATATTGGTAACTTGCTTTCTTCGTTTATAATGGCTTTGAACGTTCAATGAGATTTCTTACATATTTTAGCGACTTAAGCTTTTATTAAAGTAATCAAGGTTGTTTTATTTTCTTAATTTCAGTGCATTTAAAAGCTTATTATTGTAAGTTTTTGTAATCCAACCGCAGCTACAGTAATCAAGTTAAAAATACAAGAAAATTAGATTTTTTTTAACTATAAAAAAAAATATTATGGTCGGCTGTGGGCCCCAAAATGGCGTGGACCCCCTTAGTTCCGCCCCTAATCGTTAGCTGTCAATCCCTAAAATACAATAATCTGCTCTTCCCTTTCTTAGTCCACGGTTGACTCAAAGCAAGACAAATAGTTCACCGTCGTCGGTTAGCTGATCAAGCGGTTTAATCTTGTTATCTCCCCTTGTGTTATTCAATTTAGCAATTTTTAAATTAAATTTTAATGATTAACCTAAATTCTAATTCGATTAAATATATATTTTCTTGCATTTGTCATCGGGATGAATGTATCTGGAATGTTATTCAAATCGCTATAATAGAAGGTGGTTAAAATTAGGTTACAAGATTAGCCACAACACACTAAACAAACAGACAAATAAACATATATTTTGAGCTAAATACAAGCTAACAAAAAGAACTTATTTAGAGAGCTTGAATTAAGCGAGCCTACATTTAGTTTTGGATTTCACAATTACAGTGCAGAGCGACCACTTAGTGTTGGATATTTCCCTTTCAGGTAGATAAGCCATCATCCAGACAAGATTCTCAAAAAACCTCTTCTTTTAACCAGGCGACACTAGGTGACACTGTCTTATTTAATCCTTACGGCACGGATTACATCACAGAGGAGTCATCGTGTCTCAGAAGATTGGACGAAAATATAAAAGAAAAATCCCATAACGGTTTTGCTCGTCCATAATCACTTAGATCTCTACTTCCAATCTATGATGTTTTGATACATGGAGGAATGCGCGAGTGTAATAGAATTTAGCCCACTTTTGTGCATGGCTTAGCAATAAAACAAATCAGTAACTTATAGAATTATACTTTTTTTATAGGGGTGGTAGAAGCACAATAATAAACCACATTCAAAACAGTTAGGAAAACCACCTAAACATCATCATTTTAGAGCAGTGGCTCTTAACCGTTTTGGAGGCACCGAGCCCCAGTAGTTTCATATGCGCATTCACTTAGCCCTTCTATCGTCTGCACTGACAAAATCCGATTGTGAATCATATATGAGTCGGGTGTGTTTCTTGACCTCCGCCGGACTCCTGAGAAAGACTCACCGAACCCCTTTGGTTCGATCGAACCCGGGCTGGGAACCACTGTTTTAGAGGGAATACGCGCCCAGCTTTTTGTGACGACGAGTGTCGATACAGGTGGAGGTGAAAATCTTTTGAAATAGATTGACCCCCCCTCTTGTTCATACAGTGGGACCTTTGTGACAACAAATAAAACAACCTTTTCTTGCACATACAATTTTTTTTTCAAATAAGACTGGAATGTTTAATACAATTTTTTATTTTCAACAAAATAGTTCGTGACTTTGTTAGTATAGGCCAAAAAGACATTTGTACTCTCCTACATAGAAATACAGATTTGTATCCTCTACTTAAATCATAGAAATACAGACATTTTTGTTCTCTACTAGACAATATCATAAAGTCAATAGTTTCGTAAACCTAAATTAAAAAAAAAATGTTTCATATGTCTAGATACTTTTAGGTGTAAACGTTCAGTTGATACAATAATACATTAAAAAAAACCCCAACAACATGACATTTTATTGACGTTTTAGCATGTGGACTGTATGTATATGTATGTAGGCTATATGTGTATATGTATATATGCATTTGCAAGTGTATTTGTTAATCTTGTATGTATATGTATATGTATATGTGAAAGACATGCTTGTTTTGAATGACACCAACTTTGCTGAAACACTTTAAAAAACTAAAAAATAAATTAATATACATAAAATTGGAATGTGAAAATTACAGAAAATTATTGAATATTTGGTTTTTATTGAACACATTTATTTACAATTTTTTCGGACGTTAAGTAAACACATGCAACAATCAGAAGGGTAGAAAGTAATTCACTCAGTTCTGTTATCGTCCATTTACTTGTTCATATACTTGTTGGTCTTCTTGTTTATTTTTTATTAGCTGCACAATTAGGTATCCGCTGTCAGTGTTTGTTTCTGGCCAAAAAACATTTTAGGGCTTTGAAGTACTAAAGGGAAGTAAATCATAATAGCCGAATGTGTGCTCATGCTATTAATACTCAATTCTGTGTTCGTAATGCTAAAAATAGGGGTGCGACATGAATGAAACATTGGGAAAAAATTGAATATGGCACACTTAACAATCGGCAAGTTTTAATACTTAGGTAGTCGAACTTATCAAGCAAATACCTTCAGAAAAAAAAAACATAAAGAATTTACGTTCGAAGCGTAGTAGCTCAGGAATTTATTTAATTAATTAAGTCACTACACGATAATTCAAAAGATAAAAATAAAACAAGTTGTATTTGATCACAACTGATTGTCAAAAAGGAAAAAAAAAACATTGCAAAAATAACTGTAGTATATAAATGCATGTCACCGCACGGGTTTAATAACTTTTTACTAAAACATTTTTAATTTTTTTTACACTTTTACATTGTCTGTTGATAAAAAAGATAACAATTAACTTGTGCAGATAAAAAATCTTTGGAATGGAAAACAATATTATCGATACTAAAAAAACGTGATCAACCAATGAAGACCAGGAGTGCTGACAGTAACAGAAGTAGACTGCATGTCGTGATGGCGGCACCTGGATGGGAAAACAAACAGGACATTTTTAGTTTTCACATGTGCTAAATTATGAAAGGGGGAGGGGGGGGGGCTCCAGTAAAAAAAATTAAATACTAGAGAGCAAACACTTTTTTTTAAAGGTACATCGGCACAATATGCATTTCCATTTTTAAAAAAAATTAGTGGGAAAATCTTGGTAACTATGACAACAGCGACCTTCTTAAAAAAAAAATAGCATTTTCGTAGGATTCCCACCATTTATAAAGTATTAAATTTTAAGCCCAATAAAAAATTCAGCTAATTATGTTAAGTGCAGATGTTCAAACGAATTTATAATGAATTTTCAAAATGTGCGTCCGTTAAAAACACTAAATTTAAGACCCCAAAATTCCCTCCCCTTAATGTAGAGGGTAAAAAAAAATGCTCACCGTTTCTGTTGTTTGATCCTGGGTTTGTGGTGGTGCCCGCTACCTGCGGGAAGGCGATAGTGGTCTTGGTGTCCACCATCTTCTGCTGCTCCGCCGTTAGAGCTTTGTACTGGGCCTCGGTGATGGCGTTCACTTGGTTTGTGCTCAGTGACTTGAACTGGACAGTGGTCAGTGCCTGGGGGACAAAGCTTGAGGTTAGCGGAAACAGAAGCAGCGTCAATAACACACAGGAGAAGGAAAATAAGTGCTGACGTTACGTGGCGATAAAAACACTCAACATACAAAGACGGTCAACGACACTAAAACAAAGACACATTTAATACATTTTACCAGTAATTTAAATACAATATTTTTTTTGCACAGTTAATATGAGCTTGGGTTTATGTAAAACACATTTTAGGCCAATTGTTTGAAGTTTATTATCGTCTTGCAAGACAGGTAACTCGTAGTGTTAAACTTACAGTTATCTTTTCCTGTGGTAGGTGTTTGATAACGCTAGGATCAATCAGAGACAGTTGATTTGTTGTCAAACTTTTCAGTTGATCGACGTTCAAAGCAGCTGTTGATTTCGAAAAAAAAACGTGAAGAAAACTGCTGTAAACTCGACATAATATATTGTTATAAAAATGCACATGACACGACACTATTAAGACAATTAAAGTTATAAAAATAACACCATTTTAAAAATGGTTTTAAAAACGGAGATGGATTGCTAAACTTTTGAAAGAGGATATTTTATTATAATAAGCTAAAGCTTAAAAATGGGTTTAAAAATGTCTACCTATCAAATGGCCCATGTCGCCAACAATAGCTGGACTCCAGGTGTCTATCTGTGTCCCAAAGGATTCTATCACTTTCTGGATGTAAGCTTCTAGTTGTGGAGTCTCGCAGGATAAAGAGCGGCCGATCACATCGATTGAACGCCTGCGTACAGATAGACAATAAACAATATAGAGTTCCTACGGCATCATTGTTCTTACAAGCATTTTTGAAAACGAGGTAAAAAAAAAGGTGGGTTAGTATAGGATATTAGTTACTACTAGATCTAGCTATGGACGCTGTAACTAGGAAACACCTTGAGCATCGGCCAATAAAAAAAAAGTAGAGCACGTCAAAAAGACTTGAGCAGTGAACCGAACTTGACTAGCCTCCCTACAAAGTATGCATATGCCATGTAATGTTTTGTATGTCGCTGGAAGGTCAAAATAATTACATCGCGATATAACGAAATGTATTGGTACAATGGTTGAAGTCTAAAATGGCAAGACCACCACGTACTGTATTGGTATACGTATTGTATTGGTACAATGGTTGAAGTCTAAAATGTCACTACACGAAGGTCCCAAATAATTACATCACGATATAGCGAAATGTAATGCTACAATGGTTGAAGTCTAAAATGTCACAACATGAAGGTCCCAAATAATTACATCACGATATAGCGAAATGTAATGCTACAATGGTTGAAGTCTAAAATGTCACAACATGAAGGTCCCAAATAACTACATCACGATATAACGAAATGTATTGGTACAATGGTTGAAGTCTAAAATGTCACAACATGAAGGTCCCAAATAACTACATCACGATATAACGAAATGTATTGGTACAATGGTTGAATTCTAAAATGTCACTACATGAAGGTCCCAAATAACTACATCACGATATAACGAAATGTATTGGTACAATGGTTGAAGTGTACAAGGGCAGGGCCAATACGTACTTGATGATGACGACATTTATCTTCTGGATATCGGCGGGTTCGATTCCACAGACGAAGTGGGAGAGGGCTGAGAATTCGCCTTCTGTGACATGCGTGACGTCTGCTTTGCCAGATAAACTCAACCAACGGCGGAAACCTGCCTTCAACTAGGAAAATGAGGAACATAGATTAGAACACTTTCTACATGTAAGTATAAAGTTTGTTTCATCAATATATTCATGGTGTTTGCTTAGTATACCTGCTAGCCAAAATAGAAATAATATATTATATTTAGAAAATATTTACTTTAACTTGCACTCCCCACCCCCTTGGAAATTTAATTGCACTCCTCCCCCCCCCCCCCCCCCCAGCAGCCAAGTATTTACTGACCTATTTCCCCGGTATTCACTTCAACTGTATTTACTGATCCACAGTCTTACTAAATTGACCAAGTATTTACTTCGTGCTCTACATCCTAGCAGCATCTACTGAATTAAAGTCAATTTCTTGCTCTACAGTCTAGCAACATCTACTGCAGTGGCGTAGCGACCCTATCCGGCGCCCGGGACAAGCTTTCAATTTGTCGTCCCTCCCCCCTTCATATATTTTTATATTAATAATGCAAAACTGCAGCTGAAATTGGCTTTTAATTTTCTTTTCAACCCATTTTGCCCCCCCTAGGGTCGGCGCCCGGGGACATATGTATCCACTTGCCCCCCCCCCCCCCTCGCTACGCCACTGATCTACTGACTTAAAGTCTTGCTCTCCAGTTCTGCCTAGCTTCTTGCCGTACATACTGACCTGTTGGATGGACAAGAGCCCATGTTTAGCCACACTGTTCATGGCATCCACGCCGTTCAGTGCCAGACGTTCAATCTCTTCAGGGGTCAGTGCTGAGATGATGGAGCCAGCCCGGCGGATTATCTCATTGGTCCAGTTGCCGACATCACTGTAGATCTGGTTCAAAAATAAAACACAACATTAAGCAACATGAGACGGCGTAGTCTGTAGGACGTCACTGAGTGCACCCAGCTCTAATGAGTACTGGCTCAGGTTTTGGAGAGTAAAAGCGACTGGTCATAATGATAACCACACCATCATTTCATATGGAGAGGTCAAGAAACAGGTGAATTCTACTTTATATGGCTCGTCAGGTCCAAAAGAGTAACTTGACTACATTCAACGATAACATATTTTTTATAAAGTTAACCTAATTTAAATGAATATCAAGTGATAGAGTGGTACTTCTTGACCACTGAAGGCAGAGCTTCCTCCAGGCATCTCTTAGGGGGGGGGGGTAAGGCACCGCCTCCCCCCCCCCCCCCGAAGAAAGTCTACCGCCCCCCGAACGAAATGTAGTTTATATAGAAAATATATACTTTTGACAGTGTCCGCCCCCCCGGAAATTGTTGTCCGCCCCCCCCCCCCCCCCCGAAAATTTCAAGTGCACCCCCGGAGAAAAAAGTCTGGAAGAAACACTGACTGGAGGTCTTACCTCTTTGGTTCTGCTGACAAGCGTCTGCAGGCTCTGTTGAGGCCAGTCTCTGATGGCGCCCAGCGTCGACAGACAGTTGATGAAGTCGTCGTCCCTCATGGTAGCCAATCGCTGGGGCTCCACGTGGCGGGCCGCGCTCTTGAGCCGTGTGATGACGTCACAGGCTAGGGGACCTAGAGCACACACAAATGAAGGTGAATCGGTAAGGTCATGCTGCTTTGTTTTGGATTTTCTTTAATAGAAAATACGTTTTTTTTTTCTTTTTTTTTTGCAATGGAAATTAAAAAAGAATGTTTAAAATAACCCAATGAAAGTGTTATTGGTCTTTGTTCGACATTGGATAGAAAAACTAACATTTTTATATAGGTGTCATCCATAAATGACGTCAAGCTATTTCTATTACGTTTTAAAATAAAATAAAAACATGTGATGTTACCTTATTGACCCCCCCCCCCACATCACACCAAATAGTCCTAATTGACACCCATTCTTTCTATTATTATATGCATGCAATTGATACTTTGATGAATACCGACAAAAAGAAATTTAACACCTGCATCAAGGTGACCTACCTTCGACTGTTGCAGCTCTCCTGCGGCGAGTGTTTGGTTTTGTGGATTGGGTAGCCAGTAAAACCATGGCGTTGACCAACCGCTTTTCACCGTCGTCAAAGTCATCCAGGAGTTCCCTGTCAAACCCTTCCTCCAGCCTCTCTTTGATCATCTCCCGTCTCTTCTCGAGGCCTTTCATGATAGGACTCAGAGTGCTCAGCAGTCCCTTGCGTTCTTCAAACTGTAGAGGAAAATGGAAAAAATAGCATTAAATTCACTAAGGTCTATGCATTTTCGGAAGCAATCATTGGACTGTTTTTCTCTCCAATTTAGTTGTAGCTTCTGTTCAGGGACAGATCTCTAGTAACCCTTTAAACAATAAGAATTTTTAAAATAGTTTGCTAATTCTAAAGCAGATGCTTGCCTTAGCACGCTGTGAGTACGTTTCAGAGTAAGACACACACATTCACACAAACACACAAACACACACACGCACTCACTCACTCACGCACACACACAATGCACATATGTACCCTTTAAAATATCCTGTTATTATATGTGTATTTAAATCTTTATAATATATACATCCATACACATTTCTTAGAAAAATTACGAGAAATGTAAAAATTATGCCATTAGACTATATTTTAAAGAGGCCATATACTGATCTGACAGAGAAAAAAAGGTGAGTAAATATCACACGTACATCACAGTCGTCACTCAGTGGGTGGTCGTCATGCAGCAGGAGGGGACCCAGCCTGGCCATGATATCTGGACGGCAGTGCCATTTTCTGGAAAACATGCATCAAGTCAGTTATTTTTGGTTTTACGTCTTAGACAATGAATAATCAATTATTAGTTAACGGTGTGATAGAGGCTGGATATATGGTAGCTAGGCGGAGTGTGGGGTTTCTGACTTGTGTGACAACGAAGTGTTAAGTCTGGCTGTATGTAACCTGTGTTATTTTTAGGTATCTCTCCGAAAAAAATGGAGAATAAAATACTTTATATAGAAAATATAACCATTAATCAATGTTATTCCCGCCCCCCCCCCTTTTCCGGAGTCCCCTTTCCCCACTCCAGAGAAATGTGTATGCATGACGAGGTGGGGTAGATGGGGTTAAAATCAGTTGGAACTGAGTGATGTAAGGTCTAGATAAAAGTTGTTGTAAGTGCCTCGGATTGCTAAACACGTCTATGACCCATTGGTCCTAATACAGTATCTTTCGACTCCATGTTTTCAAAAAAAAGTCTCGTATAGTAATAAATTAAATACCACTTAAAATTTAAATTGTAAGCCCTGTATGATTGTGACTAATTTAGGACGATCCTTACTTATGGGAACTTATTTTGGTTCTAGAACTGTACTTATACCTTGGAATACACGCTTTGTATTGCAATTTAACATGAATTCGCTTACTCGGCAATGTCATCCATTTTGTCCAAAATGGCGCTGGCCTGCTCCTTTGTTAGTGGCAGTGATCTCAGAAAGTTCAGGTTGTCAAAGAGGGCTTTACTACTGAAGCTCTTTAGCTGAGAAGCTGTTAGACCAAGGGCCATTTGACCCAGTGACCTCAGGCGTCTGGATTCTTTGTCTTCAGAGACTTTCACCTGCAATACAAACGTTTGTATTAAACCTTTTAACGTAAGTTAAAAAAATAAACAAAACCATTTGATACGAAAATGCATGAGGTTTGCATTGTCTTCTTTAAAAATATCCATACAGCTTATTTTATAATTAGTTGATGATGTATATATTATGCATTAAAAATGACAATGGTTACAATTTTACAGGCCATCAAAAGTCAAAAATGTTTTGGTGCTAGCTGTGTAGGCTGGTAGTTTTCTTACCTCCTTCGAGTCATCTGATTCCTCAAGCATGTTAAGCATCATCGTTGCCAGGAATTGGATTTGGCTTGTGCTCATTTTTTGAGTGGACATCCTGGCAAGCTGAGTGACGAACGCCAATTGGCCAGGTTTACTGAAGCGGAGCTTGGTAAACTCTTCTGGTTTTCTTTAGGAAGATAAATTATCGCAGTTAATATTTGTGATTCAAATGTATATTTTTAAATTTGTACCTAAGACTTTAGAAATAAAGAACAAATTACCATTTAAAGTATTACAGTTAGTAATTCTGTCCATTTTTTTAAATAAAAAAAAATAGTCCTAAATTAGAATTCCAAATTTTAAAATGATAAAATTTAAACTCACAAATGAGCAAACATAAATGCTCCTTGTGTGGCTTTAATATCATCAATCTCTATGTCCGTCTTTAGCAAATCTGAGTACCGTTCAACCATTTCATCAATCTAAACAGCAGAGAAACAAAAATAATACATTTAATCGTAATCACCCTATGCTTATGGAACGGCGTGGCCGGGTGGTAGAGCGCTCGGCTGCAAACACGAAAATTCATCCAGCTTTGATCTGTAACTAACTCAGGGTAAGGAAAGGTAAAGCGGCTGGGCATAACCCCAGTGGCGTAGCTACCGTAAAGCTAGCGTAAGCAAGGCATAGGGGACCAAGGCAAATAGGGGCCCTTTTTTCGAAAGTTTGAGGGGGGGGGGGGGGGGGGTGCAAATCGAAAGTTTGTCCCCGGTCTCAGGGAAGGGTCGCTATGCCTCTGAGAGGCCCACTAACACTTTTTGCATAGGGGCCCAAAAATCCTAGCTACGCCACAGCATAACCCATGGACCTCCAGGTTTGAAATGGTAATTTTACTTTTTAAAAACTCTATGCTTAGCTTTGACATGCATCGGATTCAAGTAAATCAAGAGAAGTGTTTCTTTCAGCTCGTTGGAAGTGCTTAGGGGGCAATCATCCCCCCCCCCCCCGACGAGATGTCAGAAAAAAGCTCTGATCAAGAGCCAGACTGTAGTAGCCTACCTGTCCTGAGGTCAAGTCGTCTTGAATGTCCTTCAGTTTTTCAGCGAGTTCTAAAATGTCCTCCGGGGTTTTCATCAAATCGTCCAAGTCATCGGGCACCAGACCGGAAGCGACCTTCCCCATGATGGCCAGCTGAGACAGCTGGAGCCTGTGGCTGGCCGTGGCGTGGATGTATCTGTGAGCCAGCTCTGCGGCCTGTGGAAGGGAAACAAAGTACAAATCTCATTATATATTCAGAATGGATTCGCTTAAAATGGGACTTAAAAAATAATGAGGGTTTAGTTTTGATAAATAAGGGACTCCATGTGATATGGTTAGAGATTGTAAAGACGTATTTGAAACCATTCAATGCTCTATTGAGGATTTTTCTGAGTGTATTGTCGTAAGGGTCAGATTAGGATTTAGGTTAAGTTAAGGATTACAGTTGTAGGCAGCCTCGAGTAAGAACTAGGAAATGATTATCAGGGGGGAGCAAAATGGAGTCACTAGTGAACATTCTATTAGACCAGATTTTGGAAACATACGATCTGTTTATCAAGCAAACAAGAATATAACCCCGTAGTGAGATTGGACTTTAGGTCCACCTTGCCTACAGTGAGAGTGGACCACCTTGCCCACAGTGAGAGTGGACCACCTTGCCTGAAGTGAGAGTGGACCACCTTGCCCTGCAGTGACATTGGACCACCTTGGCCTGCAGTGAGAGTGGACCACCTTGCCTACAGTGAGAGTGGACCACCTTGCCTGAAGTGAAATTGGACTACCTTGCCCTGCAGTGAGAGTGGACCACCTTGCCTGCAGTGAGAGTGGACCACCTTGCCCTGCAGTGAGAGTGGACCACCTTGCCTACAGTGAGAGTGGACCACCTTGCCTGAAGTGAGAGTGGACCACCTTGCCCTGCAGTGAGAGTGGACCACCTTGCCTACAGTGAGAGTGGACCACCTTGCCTGAAGTGAGAGTGGACCACCTTGCCCTGCAGTGACATTGGACCACCTTGGCCTGCAGTGAGAGTGGACCACCTTGCCTACAGTGAGAGTGGACCACCTTGCCTGAAGTGAGAGTGGACCACCTTGCCCTGCAGTGAAATTGGACCACCTTGGCCTGCAGTGAGAGTGGACCACCTTGCCTTGCAGTGAAAGTGGACCACCGTGCCGAATGCTTAAAACATTGTTTGAAATAACTGCTGACCTGTGGAAGCCTCCAGTTGAGGTGTCCAGACACGTTCATGTACACTTGAATGTCGTCGTCATCAAGGTCATCAAGATCCGGCACGCTGAGCACTTGTGCAAAACTCGGGAGAGTTAAAAACTTGGCCGGGAGTTTGGTTTGTTGGCGGGCCTGAGGAGTGGTGGGTACGGATAGTTCATTAATATTACATATACACTTACATACGTACACAAATTGACACACATAGACACATAAATCACATACACTCACAAAATCATCACAGACAACTCACACTTACACAACTCAACATAAACACACACACTCACGTAAAAACCACACAATTTCTTCACATGCTAAGGTAACATAAACAGGCGAACTCTACTTCATCTGCCCAAAGGATCGCTAGGTCCGAAAGGGTAACACATACACACACAAAAAATATATGCTCAGACTTATCCGTATTTACACTGAGTTCAATATGTAGTGGTCCTACCATGCTGGAAATGATTCTCTTCTGGGCGTCGCTCAGGTCAATGTCATCAAGGTCGTCGAGCACACTCTCGATGACGTCACTCTTGATTTTGACGATCTGGTTGGTCTGTATCCCACGGAACAATTTACCCAGTCTGCGAACGTTGTCCACTTGAAATTTCTCCAGCTAAAATAAAGCCAGAATATATTTTTGTCTATACTTCAATATCATGTAAAAAAAAATAAAATCTAACATAGTTTTAGTATATCGTCAGTATGGCGGTGTAGTGAAAAATTATATTTAAATAGTAATATATGTAACCGTGGGCTTATCTAGTGTAGACCAATGGATTAGGTATTTAAGTGCGAAAAAACAAACTACCTCATCGTCGTCATCAATGAGATCATCCAGAATAACTTGAGCCTGAGGGAAGAAGCAAAATAGAAACGATAAGAAACATCTATCTTTGTATTAGCACTTACATTATATGAAAATAATACAAAACCACACGACTATTCGGAGTCAACTTATTGGCTTTAAATATTGCTGTACAGCCAATTAGTAATAAAACAGGTAGTGTTAGTTACCTCACAAATAAAAAAACAATTACAGATACAATGGATACTTCGACCCTTGGTCTTCTTCAGCACGCAACAGTGTGGTTAAAGATTAGACAGAAAAGACAAACAGTAGCACAATTTTGGACTAAGCTCGACAGTGAAAACACGTCATGTCTAAATGCCACGATATCCAAAACAATGTCAGATAAATCGTAGCTAGTGGCAGCTCGGACCACTCACCTGACTATCGTCAAAGTCTATGTCTTTAATCTTGTCCAAAGCTTCCTTGATGGCGTCTTTCCTCAAGTTCATCATCTGGCTGACGGCCATGCCCCGTAAGAGGTGGCCCATGCCCGTGAGGTTGTGTCCAGTCAGCTGACCGACGGGTGGGAAACGTGCGGACTGCGTCATTTGGTAGAAGACGGTCTTGGCCTGATGGGGAAGGAAAATGTTAACAATAAATAAACACTAAAAGAAGTTCGCACTTATAAAAAAATAATAAATAACACTGCCAACTGGCAAACATTAAAGATATTGTGTTAAAAACAGACATGAAAAAAAATATTTTTCAAAAAAAAAAAACAAAAACAACATAAACTTCTGCATAAAAACAATCAAAACTAATTACGTTTTTCTTTGAGATTAAGATATTTGTTGTTATTCAAAATGTAAACAGTGAAATGAGTATATAAGCAGTGGAAGGGTATGCTTCACTTACATCGTCGTCATCAAAATCCAAATCTTGAATCTCCGACATGGACTCGAATAAGTCGTCTGGGTCAATGCTTCGTACAAAGTCAAGGTCATCATGGAGGAAACTCAAGCCTCTGTAACGAAAAAATAAATAAATAATCAGCTTTTTATTTTACACGTTATAGATTATTCATATATATATATATATATATATATATATATATATATATATATATATATATATATATATATATATATATATATATATATATATATATATATATATATATATGTATGTCTTTGTTTGTGTGTATGTGTGTGTGTGTATATGTGTGTGTATGTGTGTGTGTGTGTGTGTAAATAGCGTACCATCCTAAAAGAAAAAAAAACTTACTTCCTAATGAATGGCCGGATCTGCCCACTCTCGCGGATCGCTTGTTTCATCCTCAGTCCAATAGCAAGTCTAGCGTCATCGTCGTCATCGTCATCATCATCATCATCGTCGTCGCGGACTTGAATTCTCCTCACGCTTGGCTTCGCGACCTGCTCCTTAGAATCGTCATCATCTTCGTCGTCGTCTTTATCCTCGAACAGATCGTCGGTGTCCGCGTCGAGTAGGACCTTCATGTTCAAGGTCTGGATCTGCTGGTAGCTGAGAGAGAAGAGGCCCGGCCCGATGTTGCGCAGTTTTTCCGGCGTCAGGTTCCTGACGTCGTCGTCCAGCTTCTCCCTGAAGGCGTACAGGAGGCTGGGGTTGCTGGAGCGGCGTGTGGCCAGTCGGGCGAACTGTTGGATGCTGGATAAGTGGGGGGGGGGGGGTGTTGTATTAGTGGTTTTTTTTTTTAATTTGATAACTGGTGAATTGTAAAAGAAAAGTTATTCCGTAAACTTACAGCATACTTATTGTCTGGCTCTTATTGGTTTGATATAACCAAGGTTTTTGTTTAAATTAATTTATTGAAAGTGATACAATTAAGTTTTTGCATTGGCCTCACAAGGCGGGGGAGGGGTGCGGACGGTGACGGGAGGTAACAGGACTTTGATGTATATGCTACATTCACCTATAAAAGGTAAGACATGACGCAGAATCTACGTCTCACCTAAACTGGACATGCACACTTGTTTGTGCCAAAAAGTCTCTTGTGAAATCACATTTTACACTAACAATAGACTTGTTGAATCTCTACCCCCCGGCCCCTTTCTTGGAAAACGGTGAGCGGTTTTTACCAGTTAAATTAGTTAATTAAGCCTTGTATTCACTTATATTCCTAAATTTGAATGTGTATAACTCAATATTTCAGATTAAAATGTGATTTTTTAAAATTCCCCCCCCCCCCTTTTTTTGGTGCCACCCCTAGGGTCGGGGCTGGGATGATAGCTCCCCTCCATTAACTACGCCACTGGGACTAAAGCCAGAACTAAGCTTGCAGTTCTAGCATACGTTAGAGTTTGGGTCAAGTTTCTAATTAAAGTGGGCTAGCACTTTAAACTAATTTGTCATTTTATACTATAAATTGATAGTTTTTCGTTCCTAATTTTAATATTGAAAGGGGTTTCCTAGTATTTCGTTCAACATATTATGTGCCATTTGGACGGGGACCCAACTTCAGCCTGCTTTTCTTTCTACTAAACTAATACAATTATTTACAAAAAAAAATGTGTGCTTTTATTGCACACAACAACTAGCGAATCTGGATCAAGAACTTACTGTTTCTCAAACAAATCCTCTTTCAGGTCCTCCAGGAAATCGTCGTCTAGAGCTTCCGGTGCCAGCCTCAGCGCCTGCTTCACCCTGCTGTCGTCCCACCCTGCGGCTTTCAGTTGTGAGATGAGAGCTATTTGGTGGGCTCCGTTCAGTGGCTGTACAAACAAATACAACGTCAATACCGAACAGTGGTTTGGGCATGCGCAGATACTTCATGCGGATTTTAGACATTTATTTTGACTAGACTTAGAACTTGAACAAACCGAACATTCGCCAAAAAACATTAGAGCGTATAAACAAATTAAAAAGTTAAAGGTTTTAAAGTGACCCCGTGCTTTGATGTTAATTTGGAACAAATACGATTGTTAAAAGCATTAGAAATTATTTATTCACCTAAAAGGATTTGTTATTTAATGTTTTTGTTCACTTTGTAGCTCTTAAATTTAAAAACAAACAAAACTATTATCTTAATTGGTGTATGTTTTAATTCTAACTACAGTTAGCTTTTTAGTAAAGACTTGTTAATGGTTGTAACTTAAAAAAACAAACAACCATGTTTTTAACGACAGCGATTGTTCAAATGTTTTACGACGCTAGTTTTTTCCTCTTAAATCGTAAGTCATAATTAACAAATCTCACCATTCCACCAATAAATCACACCCCACCATTGCCCACCAATAACAAATCTCACCTTTTCTCTCTCGTAGAAGCTGCTAATGTTCACCCCATTCCCCCTCACTTTATACCCAAAATAGCAAAAACCTTCACCTTTGTGCACGAGACTAACTATTTCACTATCTGCCTGCCACTATCGAGGTGAATTCATCCTTCAAGCTGAAAATTGTGATAGATGTTGAAAGCCAGAAACCTGCCTGTGTTATCAGCTAAGCGTGGTTTTAGTTGCCTTGTTCCTTGTGTTTAGATTAGGGTTAGTGTTTGTGGCAATAGGCGTGGCGAGAGGTGAAAGAACATCTACATACACGTACAGTTTAATGTTTAGACTTTTGTTACAGTATTGAAGAAAGATGTAGTAAATCCGCTGAGTAGAAAGGAAGTGGTGATACTAAGGTGTTATAAACTAGAAAGACGAGATTGGGTAATTTAAAAAGTTACGGTAAATTCAGTGGGAAAATGTTTAACATGGTTGAGGCAGTGGCGTAGGCAGGGGGGGGGGGGGGTTAGCGGGATCATAACCCTCCCCATAGACCCCTCGGTATATAGAAAAAGTATGAGGGGGTGCAAATCGAAAGTTTGAGGGGGGGGGGGTGCAAATCAAAAGTTTGAGGGGGTGGGGTGCAAATCGAAAGTTTGTCCCCGGGTAAAAATTGGACCCCCCCCCCCCCTTGAGACGATCATGGCTACGCCACTGGGTTGAGGAGAGAGGTTAAGCGCCTCATCTTGGGAGTGAATAGATACTTTTGCATGGGTGGAATCATGTGATACTTTTGTGAAGAAAGTTGTGTATAGTTTTATTTATTATTATACAAAGGTTAGATGAGTAAATACAAGTGATAGACAGTGGGCCTACAGTGCTGGAGAGCTGTGTTAGCCACAGTTGAGAAAAAGAAGGACTGAATGGTAGATTGACTTGTTAAATAGTTAAGACTTATAGAAAGAGATGGAAGGACGATTGGGTAAATAGAAGGATTGAATGGGTAGATTGACTTGTCAAATAGTAAAGACTTATAGAAAGAGATGGAAAAATGATTGCGTAAATAGAAATATTGATGGGTAGATTAACTGGTTAAATAGACCAATGGTCCAGACGTATAGACAGAGATGGGATGATTTGGTAAATAGATGAATGGGTAAATTGACTTGGTAAATAATAAAGACTTATAGACAGAAGGAAGGGCGATTGGGTAAATAGAAAGATTTTCATGGGTAAATTGTTCTGTTAAAGGTACAGATTTATAGACAGAGATTGAATGACAATGATGTAAGCAGAACGATTGTCGTGTGTATACTCAAGAAACAGACAAGTACTTGTATGTTTTGTCATTGTGTTAGTGGTTTAACGAGCAAATTTTTAAAATGTGGCCAAGCTTAGCTAACCCAATGTGTTAATGCTAACAGTTTTTGTTGTTGTTATTTTTAACATAACTAAACTTAATTAACCATCCACCTTTTCGTTATTTTTTTGTTGTCATAAACGCCGTTGACGTACATATTGAGGCTTCTACAATTTGAATTCCCCTTCAGACATGAACATATTGGTTGTTATTGTGCTATTTATAAACTTTAAATACAAAAATATTAGAAATTTATCATTGAAAAAATAAAATATAGCCTTAATTCTAAATCATTACGAAATAATATCTTCCCTAAACATGCTAAAGGACTGACTGATAAAAAAAAAATTGTGTGCTAGTTCGTTCAAGATCTGATTCTTCCCTAGACATACAGAAGGACTGACTGATAAAAAAAAAATGGTGTGCTAGTTCGTTCATGATCTGAAAGGGCTCAAGAGTTACATTTCCCTGAGCTAACCGGTAAGCGTCGTCTGGATGTCAGCAACAGACATCTTGTTTCGTTACTCACGTATCGTCTATCATCATCATCATCATCATCATCATCGCGCTCATGCGAATCAGCGACTTCCGGCATGTCATCATCACCATCTTCACTGTCAACCTTTTCTTTTAATTCTTCAATTAATTCAACTTTTTTATCATCCTTATCATCGGATTTATCCTCTACTTTTTCATCGAGTATTTCCTCTAATTTTTCCTTTGATTTATTATCCCCGACCAATTCTTTAGAGTCATCGCTTATCTTCATTTCTTTATCATCCGTTATCTCTTTCGAGTCGTCTTTCATCGTTGAGTTATTATCTTTCTCGTCGCTGTCGTCCTCTATTTTTACGACGCTTATTTTTTCTTTCGAATCCTTATCCTTATCGTGGTCTCTCTCCTTGGATATCTGATCGTCTAAATCTATTTTAAACTCGCCAATCTGAGCCAACTCTTGGCTCTTATCCTGACTCACTTCGTCATCGTCCAGATACTCCTCGCATCCGGTCACCAGGGCAGGCATCCTGGCAAAGATGGCGGCTGAACCCTGGGCGTATCGTCTGCAGAGAAACCCTTTGTCCCCCTTGCTGACGAACCCTGACAGGCATTCAAGGTCATCGTCCTGTGAAACGATTTTAAAATTTCGTAAAAAATTTCATAATTTAAATTATTTAATGATTGAATTGTTATTTTAAATGGCATGGCATGGATTAGCGATAGAAAGTATCTTAAATGAAGTTCCATACATTCATTAATAATAGAATTGCTTTTATTTGTGATTAAAGTTTACTCCTTTTAAAAAAACAACAAAAAAAAAACAACTGAAGACATCTTTCGCATTAACTTTGTGCAGTATTCCTGTTTCTATAATAATAAATTATCCAGTTTGTTTAGTTTCATTGTTGTTAAATTGGGATGTTTTATTAATTCACGTATATTTTATCCCAAATAAAATTAATAAATACTACAAAATTGCTCTGGTCCCCCCCCCCCCCCACACACACGCTTCTCTTGATGCCTGAAGCATGTGTTTACGTTGCATGTTGCCTACACCAACAACTTTTGTTTATTTATCACACTAACAGCCCTAAAAACACTTTACTAAACATTATAGCCACACGATGAAGTTTGAGATATTGTTCTGCTAAGGCACAACCCTGACATACATACTTCAGCTTTAGTTTATGTTTCTGTTTTCTCCCCTAAAACTAAGCCAGGCTAATTAATTAATCTCTGGATATTTTCTGAAATGGGAAGTTCTTGTGTTGTTTTTTTTTTTCTTGCCGAGCGAGTCAGTGTTTGGTCACTGGCTGGGAGGGGTCTTGTCAGTACATTCATCAAGTCCTTTGTGGTGTTGTTTTACTAGTGTGTGTGTCTGTGTGTGTCTGTGTGTTACAGAAGGGAAAGTGGGGGGGGGGGGGGACCTACTACATGTTTACAGTGGTACCTGAAGAGGAGGGGGGGGGGGTGAAGGTTTAATCCTTGTAGCTCTAACATTTTATTTTCCCAGCAAGATGTATCTAGTGTAGAGTCTACTGAGATTTGTGTCTGTGTGGTCTTGTGTTACCTCCAGTGTGGTCCACCTATTCTCCCCCTCCCCCCCCCCCCCCACTACTACAATAGATTAAAACTGATGACTCAGCACCAACCAGCTGGCTGTACTAAGGTACAAGCTGGCCTTCAGAGCAGTTCAGTGAAGTCATTACTGTTTGGGTAAACACTCATTTTAACTGAAGCACAACCTCCATCTGTATTATATTATATCTGCAGGTCCATGTTTAGCCTGGAAAAACTTCATCGGTTATTCTCTTGCAACTTAGTTACAAATTCTGTAACTTCCCTTACACCTTACGTTTGTAATCCTACATGTAACTTCTCTTACACCTTACGTTTGTAATCCTACCTGTAACTTCTCTTACACCTTACGTTTGTTGTCCTATTTGTAGCTTCTCTTAAACCTTACATTTATGACGGTACCTCTAACGTCCCTTACACCTTACGTTTGTTACCCTAAACTTCCTTTACATCTTACGGTTGTTAACTTGTTACCCTACATGCTGTGGCGTAGCGAGGTCGGGCGTAGCGACCCTTCCCGGGGAAAATTTTTTGATTTGCACCCCCCCCCCCTCAAACTTTCGATTTGCACCCCCCTCAAACTTTCGATTTGCACCCCCCCTCAAGTTTTCGATTTGCACACCTCCCCCCAAACTTTCGATTTGCACCCCCCCCCCCCTCAAGGTTTTCTCTATATATTTTGCTATTTTTTGCCTTGGTGTCACCCCCCTAAATGGTGTCACCCGGTGCGGTCCGCACCCCCAGCCCGCCCCCCCCCCCTCGCTACGCCCCTGCCTACATGTAACTTCCCTTACACCATACATTTCTCATCCTACCTCTAACGCCTCTTACACCTTACATTTGTTACCCTACCTGTAACTTCTCCAAGAGGTCGTCCAACTCGAACTCCCCCGTGTCTCGCCTCCTCCTCCTATGATCGTCTCCGTTTGAGTCTTTGGGCTGTGTGGATTTCTTGCCATCCGTGTCCGACGAATCCGTGGAGTTGCTGGCTGTGTCCATGTCGGAGCTGGTGTCGTTGTCGGATTTGTCGGACGAGTCCACGTCGACCGAGTCGGTGATGTCGTCATGTAGCTCTTTGATGATTTCCGGCAGACGACGAAGGAAGTCGGTAAACTTATTGCCGTCTTTAAGGCACTTCATGGCTCTTTCGTTGAGTAGTGTAGGGTGGCCATCTTGAAAAAAAATTAAAATTACGTTTCATTTAAATATTTTTCGAATGTTTTGAATGTCTTGAATCGCAAATGATTTAATTAATCTAACTGCTAATAACAATTATAAATTGAATTACCGATGAGCACTATAAACTAAAATAAGACAAGAACAAACAGGCAAATAATTTAAAAAAAACCACAATCAACTAAAAGTAAAACAATTCAATTTTACCCATATGTCCAAATTATATCCATCTAAATTAATTAATTAACAAACCTACCCTTCAATCCGAGCTGAGCCCAGTTGAAGACAAACCCTGCTGGCATTCTAGTGGCCAGTTTGTTTAATTTTTCGAAAAGGTCTTCGAAATCTCCAAGAAAATCTGGAGTGTCTGGTCGTTCCGGTCGTTTTTCTAAAAGTTCCTGCAGAACAGAAGAGTCAGATATTTATTACTGCTTATATATATATATATATATATATATATATATGTGAGCGGCTGGAGTGTGTTTATCTGTTATTATAATTATTTGTAACTAAGAAGGCGAATGTCGCTTTTTATGTTCCTTTGAGGATTGTTGTGGTTTTTAGTTAAGTAGTCCGCTATTATGGCGCTGATATGATTTCGATTTTACAATGGTTTGTAGCCTGGTTATTGTGTCTTGTTTATATTTGAATGTTATTATTTATGCAAACTTTGTTTTGGATTGTTGCTCCACTTTGCTTTATGTCCTGAATGTTACTTATTATTGTATTAGGGACTATTTTCTTGTGCGTAGCATTGGTTTCTTTGTTCGTAGTATTGGTTTCTTTGTTCGTGAATGTGGTGTGTCGACATGGAGGGACATTCTGCTGGAATGTCGAGGCCTGTGTGTTGAAGAGTTTCTGTGTCACGTTTATGTGGTGTATGGTAACGTAGGGTTATTTTTATAGTGTTCTATTATGTTTTCCATATTTTTGTTTGCTGATTTTGTATACAAAGTGACTATGTACTAGATCTATTTAGTCACTTCGACTTTGAGAAGTTTCAATGTTTGTTTTATCCAGACCACGTGGTAGCACGATGGCCTGGGTTTAGTCATGGATTATTGTAGATTTTACTTTCATTTATGAGAGCCACTTGTTTAGGCTGACAATTGTGTCAGCTTACTGCCTTGTGTATAACTTTTTTTACCTTTTAAATTGATTTGTCTTATTTTTCCTCTTTCTAGGATGGTGGTCCGAAATTGGGTGTTTTGTTTCGTTGAGTTCTGTTTGTTTTGTATGTCTTGAGTGTTTTGTCTAGATCTAGATCTAGATTCTGGTTTTTTATAATAACTTCTGGTTCCATATTTATTATTTTGTTAAATAAATTTTATATTATTGTTAAAGTTTTTTTGTTTTTAATTTAGACTAAGGTTAGGTTATTAACCAGCCTGGGTTTAGCCGGGCTTGCACTGACCGGACAGTAGTTAGTTAGATAAGCCTAGGGAAGGGTAAGATAGATTTTAGGTATCCCCCCCCCCCTAGCAGGGCTTACATATATGTATATATATATATATGTATATATATATATATATATATATATATATATATATATATATATATATATATATATATATATATATATGGGCATCGCCTGCAATGTATTTAAAAAAACATCAATTGTAGTGCAAGTGCAATGAGTTACATGATTTCTAAACTACGCTTGATCACCCATACTACTCTACGACTTGATGGTCCCAATTTTTTGTCAATCTATTTTCCTGATGTCGATCCGTGTGTCGTCGACTGTAATTTTGAAGTGACCCCAATGTTTTGAGCGACCCTTCTGCTTTAATGACCCCAATTTTTGGAGCGATCCTTGTGGTTTAGTGAACCCAATGTTGTTTGAGTTCTCTTGTTGGAGCCATGGTTAAATGACCCCAGTGCATTAAACAACACCCATGTTTTCTAACAATCATACAGACAAATGATTGTTGTCGACGCCATTGTTAAAATAGCCACAATGTATTTACAACACCCATGTTTTCTAACAATCATACATACAAATGATTGTTGCTGTTGGTACCACCTACCTTAATTTGCTCCCTCATTTCTTCGCTTGTAAGTTCTTGTAAGTCCATTCCAACCTTTAAACTCTCGTCTGCTTCATACCCTTAAAAGAAAAAAAAAATGTTGCATTTTATTCAACTTTGACAGTTGTAATGTGATTAAAAGAGGTTGGAGAAAATAAAATAAAAAATACATTAAAACCCAGGCTTCTAGAGATTGGGTAAATATATACACCCCCGAGAAATATACCCAATTACTTAATTGCATTATGTTATGTTTTTGTTTTACTTTATATTTCAGTTTTTCCATCATAATTAATATGAGGATGACCATATGGAAAGCTACGCAGAACTCTAGTGTTAAACATCGGACACATAAGTTTTCTATTTAGTCTCTGATTCAGTGTCGGACACGGAGAGCAGGGTAAAACAATAAACGTGTGAGGGTGTATGTGTCTTCGTGGGTGTCTTGTTTACTCATAGATCGATGACGTCGCAAAAAATGAGCTGCTCGTGTTTGTGTAATGGCCGCCATGATGGATGAGGCGTCCGATCGAGATGTGCTAAAAATAAATTTACTCCTTCCTGTACGCTGTAGCCATGCCATCTGTTAAGGGGATGGGGGTGAGGTGGGGGTGTGGTGAGGTGGGGGGGGGGGGGGTGAAAGGAGGACCTATATGATGACGTGATTCCTATCTATCAATCGAGTTCTAACGGAACATTCCTGCTTCTAAATCACAACATCACGTGATGTAAAGATTGATCACGTGGACTGAGCGCAGATGGCCAACAGAAAGAAGGTAATGCTTCAGATGACCTCACGAGTCAAGTATTTTCACTGCCCCTGCATGTGGGTAAATTGATTAGCTGAGTTTGATGGACGACCTTTCGTTGATCAAGGTCGTCAAACCAAATTCATCACACTTTAGTACTGATCATAAACTAATGTTGTGTTTCATGGAGAGTTTCACTCGTTAAAGGAATCACGAGCTTTCCTGCGCATGCGCTATTGGGTAATGTTACATATGTAAACACTAATTAAATTTGCATTTTGGACTAAATGAATCATAATATTGTTGCACATGATCGGACAGATAATAATTAATCAAAGGGATATTTCCATCCTCTCCATAACAAATATTTTCCTAGTTCTCTACATGAAAAATATTTTCTTACAGATGCATATATATATATATATATATATATATATATATATATATATATATATATATATATATATATATATATATATATATATATATATATATATATATATATATATATTGTTTTTGTTTTACTTCTATACACTACATAGGCCTACTTGCATTATTCACTTTATTAAAAAATATTTCCCTATAGACTATATCTACAGTACAAACATGTTCTTGTATTTGCGCATAAAAATATTTTCTTAGAGCTGTAGTTCAGAGGCGTAGCGACCCCTCCCGGCGCCCGGGGCGATCTTTTAGTTTGGCGCCCCCCCATATATATATATATATATATATATATATATATATATATATATATATATATATATATATATATACATATATATATATATGCGTGTTTGTGCGACAGTCTGGAAACAAGTTAATTAAAAAGTCTAGTGACAATTTAAGCGCAATTTCCTTATGTTATCTAAAAATAGCTCTGACGTATAATGCTGGGGTGCGATCAAGCTAGGAGAACGATCGGTTTGTAGGTGTTTATGTAATTTTAAAATTTGTGACCGAACGAAAGGATATTTTGAAAACTTTCTTCGGCAATATTGTTTTAAATTATGTCAGGAATCGATTGGTAAATGTTTCAAGTCGCTAAGTGGTCTCGTTGCCGAGCTATGGGCCAAAAACTGCATTTTTTCGAGGTATTTTGGCTTTTCCGGGAAATCCAGGAAGGAATTCCGGGAATTTTTTTAGCCCACTATCATCCTCGGAACTTGCTTAACAAATTTGCTTTGGAACTAGTCCTCGATATTGCTTCGTTGAGGAGGAGATACGACTTAAAGCTGCGAACACATATCCATCCATCCATTCCCAGAAAAGACGAGTTAATAAACGCAATTCTCCAGAATGGAAATTGCGCTAAAAAATTAACAATTACGCTGATTCCCTAAAACTTCACTGGACGCCAATCAAATTCCCCTTAAGATGCCGAAACGAATAATAAGTAGAAAATCAAAAGAGCTTAGAACAGTGGGCTCCATCGAACCCGAGAGGTTCGGTAATTCAGTCTTAGGGCTTCCGCGGAGGTCAAGACACACGCCTGACTCATAGGATTCACGATCGGATTTGTCATTGTGGACGATACAACTATTAAGGAGGGTTCGGTGATTGCGCGTATGAAACTGGTGGGGTTCGGTTCTCCAAAAATTTAAGAACCACTGCTTTAGAGTGTATTTTGTAGAAGGTGCAAGCCTTATTTGGTCTACTTTTGGTCGTGTCTTTAGAACAATTTCGATAATAGTAGGCCAGTATTGCAACTTTGAATTATCAGGTTGAACAAAGTAATAATCAGTACAATATACTAATTTTCTTCTCTCTTAAAGTTTTGGCAAAGAGTGTTGCTTCCCATCCACCCGCTCCGTCAGTCTGCTATTTTACTGATCGGATAGCGATACAAGAATCCGTTATATTTATTTCTCTTTAATGCAGTGATCCAGGCAAGATGTAATGCAATCAAGTAAAGTATCTGATCTATCACGATCAAGTTGAGAGAATCGTAAAAATTGTACAAATAACCAGAGTTTCTTCCAGGCATCTCTTCTTCGAAGCCCCCCCCCCCCCCCGAACGAAATGAAACTTATATAATTTATAGAGAAAATATATACTTTTAACAGTGTGCGCCCCCCCCCCCCCCCCCCCGAAGAAAGTCTACCGTCCCGCCGAAAATTTGTAGTGCCCCACCAGCGGGGAAAAAAATCTGGAAGAAACACTGCAAAGAACTAGTCGCGTTATTACTTAGCAAATCTGGGTAGTGAAATCGTACATTAAGTGTTAATACAATTGATCTCTTTTCTAAGTGTTAAAAGAGTTATCTAGCAACCGATCCAGTACAAATCCTGCGATTTTTGTTAGTGAAAAAGCGCCCCACCCTCTTGGACAAAAAATGGTAGAGCAGATTTTAAACGCCACTAACTCTTTTTATGTTATACAATCGTAAAATACGCTTTAGTTCAATGGGTTTCTTTTTTGAGTGATATCGGTTATTTATTCCTTAATCCGGTGTAAATTTTTTCTATTTCAGTCTTCGAAAAAGCGCCCCCCCCCCCCTCCCCATCTAGGAAAGCTGGAAAGCGGTTTTTCCAGTCACTGTTTCTTAAAGATATACGTTTTACAGTTACACAATCAAGGTAGAAAACAGTTAAATCAGTATGCAAAGGCTCTCAGCCGTTAAATTTCTTTACTTTGACTGTTTATAATTCAAAACTGCAGCTTAAAATGAGCTTTTAATTTTTTTTTCTACCCCTTTTGGCGCCCCCTTAGGGTCGGCGCCCGGGGCGGCCGCCCTCCCCGCCCTCCCCTAGCTACGCCTCTGCTGTAGTTACAAATATTTTTCTTAGTAGGGTACATCAATAACATTAAATGTCAACGGTGTTGGTGAATAACACCCTGTGAGAAGTGACAACCCAGTTGGTCAGACAGTACATCATGGTGTAAATCAGGTACACAACTGAGTTTAGTTGTCACGGTTTAGTGTCAGTCATGGTACACAACGGTGTTTGGCTGTCTGGATCAAAACAGCCATGGAGGAGGAAGGCGTGGTCGAAACGGAGGAGGTGTGACTGCTAACTCCTAAAGTCTCGAGTTCGGACCTCCGGGCAGATAAGGCTCGTTAGCTGAGGACAGCAAACAATCTGGGAGAGGAAACTCCAGAGTCAAACAACTGAAAACGGGCTGAAATGGGAGTCAGCCGGCCGTAGGGCGCTTGACATGTTGACAGGCAATGCTCAATTGTGTTGGAGGAAACTCCCTGCCATGTTACAGGGTAGAACAAAGGAAAGGATGAAGTCAACATCGGGATAGTCCTGTGTCCTAGCTGTAAGGACTTATGTCAGCAATAGAACATAACTATGTCCTAGCTCTCAGTGTGTAAATCAACCATGGTAAGGCACAAGGCCACTAAATGTTGTGATGTGGTTCAAACTGTGACATTCCATATACAGAGCAAAATATTGAACAATCACACCTTACAGATTTTACACCAATATAACCCAATACACCATATAACAGTTTCCCCAACGATTTTATCCAACGTTTGCAGCCAAAATCTAGACTTCCACCCCTCTCCCTTTCAAGACCAGAACCCTAATTCAACACCCCTAAACCATTATCCGGCACTTCCACCCAATCCCATTATACAACAAATGTCCACTTAATTCCCTATTCCAAAAATATCCACATCAATTTTCACACCAATCCCAAACCAACAGCTATTCCCTGCAACCCTTTAAAAATCAACTGATTCATCAAACTATTTGACAACCAACAACTACAACTCATAGTCAACAGTTGGCACTAAACAACCACATCTAACAGTTCAACCACACACAAAAACCACATCTCATAGAGTCAACCACACACAACAACCACATCTCGAGTCAACCACACATAACAACCACATCTCATAAAGTCAACTACACAACAATCACATTTCGTAGAGTTAACCACACACAACAACCACATCTCATAGAGTTAACCACACACAACAACCACATCTAACATTGTCAACTGCACACAACAATCACATTTCGTAGAGTTAACCACACACAACAACCACATCTCATAGAGTCAACCACACACAACAACCACATCTCATAGAGTCAACCACACACAACAACCACATCTAACATTGTCAACTGCACACAACAACCACATCTCGTAGAGTTAACCACACACAACAACCACATCTCATAGAGTTAACCACACACAACAACCACATCTAACATTGTCAACTGCACACAACAACCACATCTCGTAGAGTTAACCACACACAACAACCACATCTCATAGAGTTAACCACACACAACAACCACATCCCATAGAGTCAACCACACACAACAACCACATCTCATAGAGTCAACCACACACAATAATCACATCTCATAGAGTCAACCACACACAACAACCACATCTCATAGAGTCAACCACACACAACAACCACATCTCATAAAGTCAACCACACACAACAACCACATCTAACATTGTCAACCACGCACAACAACCACATCTCATAAAGTCAACCACACACAACAACCACATCTAACATTGTCAACCACACACAACAACCACATCTAACATTGTCAACCACACACATCTTATAAAGTCAACCACACACAACAACCACATCTCATAAAGTCACCCAATATTCCCATCGATCTCAAATTGTTTGTGTTGGGTCTCTAGGGCGTGACCGTGGGGCCATCAATCGACCGTATTTGCTGTCTGCTTCTAAATGAACATCCCGTTTCACATGAAAGCGGTGCCCCAATTACGGTAAGACCGCTGATTCATTACGGTAAAACCTCGCTTAGTGATAAGACATTGACAGCATCCGTTTTGAGCAGGACTGAAGTCATGACTACATGACGTCATTCAACGACAAGGATACACGATTTGACATCATAGAGAGTTTGAGTAGTTCAGGTGGAGGCAAGACAGGTGAGATAGACAAGACAGTTTGGTGAACAGATGAGATAGACTATACAGTTTGGTGAACAGATGGGGTAGACAAGACAGTTTGGCAAAGAAGTGAGATAGACTATACAGTTTGGTGAACAGATGAGGTAGACAAGACAGTTTGGCAAAGAAGTGAGATAGACTATACAGTTTGGTGAACAGATGAGGTAGACAAGACAGTTTTGTGAACAGGTGAGGTAGACAAGACAGTTTTGTGAACAGGTGAGACAAGACAGTTTGGTGAACAGGTGAGATAGACAAGACAGTTTGGTGAAGAGGTGAGACAAGACAGTTTGGTGAACAGGTGAGATAGACAAGACAGTTTGGTGAAGAGGTGAGGTAGACAAGACAATTTGATGAACAGATGAGACAAGACAGTTAGTTAAAAGATAAAAGATACAAAAGAGTTAATGGCAGCAAGCAAAAACTTGACAGTGTGAAAGGGGGGGGGGGGGGGTTTGTGGCGGGAAAGAGACTACACAAAAATGACGAAATGTACGACTAGAGATTTAATTTGTGTCCTTGAACATCAATTAACTAAACCAATAAAAGAGGCTTAAGAAATGTAACGAAATTTCCTATATTTTTGTGGTCATCCTCGCTTAACTTAGTCTGTGTCATTCTTTAAGGACAATATCTGTCACACCTTAAACTCCCTTACCCCCTCCCCACCCAACTTGATTCTCTTCTCTCCCCTTCCCCTCCCCCCCCCCTCCAGCAATAACTCTTTTGGTGTGTCTAAGTGTCGAGAGCGCCATGTAGACTTGACAAATGAACCGGCCACTAAAAGACGACGTGGGGGTCGTTAATGACTTGAGATTCTAATACCGCAGCCAAGTGTTTATGTTAGGGCTAAATGAATCCTGCCTTCCGATTGGTTGAAAACTATCTACTCCGGACATTAGCATATTAATTTTCATCAAATTAGAAGAGTAATTAAAATTTTTGACAAGGCATTTTTAATACTTTACCTCGCTAAGACACCAAGGCTTATCCCGATAAACTCGGTGAATTTTATCTTACCACTTAATGAAAAATGAGTGCGATACTTAGTGGAGTGGTAGGGAGCTCGACTACCTGACCGATAGCTTGGAGCTCAATTCCTAGTGTATGCTTTTATCTGTACTTAACGAGGTTTCTTTATGAAATTTTGATCTGGATTGCCCCGGACGTTGAAAATGAAATTCTGGGGTGGTGGTGGTGGGGGGCGGGGGGGGGGGGGGTAGATATTTTCGATTTAAACGCAATGTTTTTTTTTTCTATTTCGTCAACCGGGAAAGGGGGGGGGGGGCTTTGAAAAAACCCCACTGATACATATGTTTAAGTTGGACCTTATTGAATTATTCATCACCCTCACCCCCCCCCCTAGTGATTCCTGATTCAACGCTATTGACATCCATTTCATGTTTGTGGAGAACATCCTAAGTGTTTCTTTCAGGCATCTATTCCAGGCATCTACCGCCCCGTGCGAAATATAATCTATATAGAGAATATGTACTTTTACCCGTGTCCGCCCACCCCCACCTCCACGCCCCGGAGAAAAAAGTTAGAAAGAACCAATTAACATTCTAGGTGTTAATGTTTTCTTTAATAAATCATCTTTTTTGTTTGACGTCATATCGCAATGGTACATGGAGTTTCGAAAGCATGCTACCGTTGTGGTAACACTATGGCTCTTGGTAAGTGCGGGGATAACTTTCCCTTTACTTCAAAGTTTGCTTTTATCATCTGCTTTTATCCTTACGTCAATCACATAATTCCAAGTCTTCATAACTACAGCAAGTATTTATTATAACGCAATTACCAACACTAAAATCAAAAGACCCTACACATTTCACTATCTATAATTCCGATCTTCCGTAACCTTTGTCTTTTTCTATAAATTCACAAACAAAAACTGGATTACAACTTGATTAGATCAGCATGCTTCTCTAACTTCCAATACTTGCATTGTGTATGCCTCATCACAAGAGAGTAGAAATTTATAGCTTACTCACATTTCAAGTTTAAATCAATGCATTTGGCCTAATTAGGATATTATTTACATTGTTTACGGATTCGTCGTTAAACTTATTTCTAATAAGAAAGATTGAAACACTGAATATGCTTTGCCGGATTAAACACAACGGTGTTTACAGTGTAAAATTATGTTGAGTGTGACCTTCAGATGCGCTGTTTCCGAATTATGCCTTTCCAATATTGACGCTATTATCAAAGTATTTTAAAAATAATATTATTAAAGTATATAGTAGATGCTGATAAATAAACACATTTTAAATTATCAGTGTATGATCTGCGTTTTGTTCTATAACAATTGAAAGCTTTTTAAAGAAATATTCAATAAAATCCTATTTAAATTGTCATTTCAACTATCCTATATAATGAGAGATCAAAGATAATGCTAACAAATAATGAAAATTTGAATGATTGGTGATAATATCATTTTTGTTTTCAAATTACGGTAGTTCAGGCTTCTATGGCAAAACTATATTAAAATATTTTATTTAAAAAAAGCTATTTACACATTTTGTATATTGCCACTTACCTTTCAGAATAGTGCTTAGTATACACATAACGTACAGTCCTTTCAATAAACGTCCATAATTTGTGTGATCCATCTTGTATTTACTAAAAATTTGAGGATTTTCTTTTCTTAATTTTTGTTTCAATCGTGTTGTCACGCAGTTCTTTAAAAGTTGTTTGAATGATGTTACAATAAGTTGTCCGAAAATTTATTTTACTTCTGATGTTTCTCTAAACTGTATTCTGAACTGCTGTTTTTCTCGGTCACTTGGGCTATTTATGTTCGTTTGCGGTAAACGAACGCGAAGTGACGTAGTTACCTCTACAACACGCGTAGCGTCCTGAGCATGCGCAGTGGAAAACTTTCGAAAACCATGGGCGAATCTGTGGTGGTTTTACAATACACCTTGAATGATGCTGTACTGTAGTTCGGGCTTTGGGTTTCTAGTTCACCTGTGCGAGGCCCGCCGCTGTGAAACGTGACGGATGACGGAAAAAAATTCGGGAAGGGGGAAACACGCTTGAGACTGTCATCCATATAACAAAGACCCGGTGACACTGACGTATGTCAAACGGTGGGAATGTCGGCTGAAAATAGAGGTCGTGTCTTTTTTTCTCTCTGGCAATTGACCAATGAAATACGATTTGTGTATGTACGATTTAATTAAGACTGGACTAAGATGCCAAGAATAATTAAGTCCATCCTTGATTGCTGAGCTGAGAACGGGGCGTTAGCAAGATACGGTGTTACCTGTGACGTCAGAGGATACTTTTTTTTTAAGAATTTAAAAAAAAATCTTTTCTTAGAAAACGTATCTTTTTTTTTTAAATAAAAAGATAAATAGGCCTATGTAATGAAATATTGTACAACAGTTCTTGTCACTTTATGTCACTTTAACTATAACATCTCCAAAACTCAGCCAAAGGTACATCTAGATCAGTATTTCTTAACCTTTTTTTAAGGTCCGAACCCCATCAGTTCGATATGCGCGTTGACCGAACTTTTCTTAGTAGTTCTATTGCCCGCACTGACAAATTCCGATCGTGAATCTTTTGAGTCGGGTATGCAACTTAACCTTAGCCGAAACCCTGAGACTGACTCACCGAACCCCTGGGGTTCGATCGAACCCAGGTTAAGAACCGCTGCTCTAGATCCGAATCTCAATTTTGCAGACATAACAAAGTTGTATTTCCTGTCCAATATAGGCTGTACTTCAGAAAGGAAATCTTTTTTCGGCCGTTGGCAGAAACACGTTTTTATTCTGGGTGAAACGTGCTTTGAGATTATGTCGCGTCTGGTATGGAAGTTGAAGACCGGCATCACCGGTAAAATATCGCAACGATTGAACTAGCGAATGTAATAGAAGGACATGGTGTCAATTATTTACTGACATCTGTGGTGTGGATCAAAATGTCATCTGGTAGTGAGGGATTAATAATTTAACAAAGTAGGTAGTGGGAAGGTTAGACAACTCTCAACGCTGGTGTTGTATGTCGTTTCTCTGCTTTCAAATGTCGTATGCAATATTTCTTTAAGACTTCTTTTTTTTTCTCCGGAGGGGGGGGGGGGGGGGGGAAGGGGCGGACTAAGTTTGCCGTGAGGGGGTGGGGGCTGACAAAAATTTCCGAGAGGGGGCTGGACATTGGTAAAAGTATTTATTTTCAATATAAATTCCATTTCGTTTGGAGTGTGTGTGTGGGGGGGGGGGGGGCTGGAAGAGATGCCTGTGCCTAGAAGAAACTCTGGTTGTATGTTATTTCTCTGCTTCCACCAAATGTCGTATGTCGTGTCTCTGCTTCCACCAAATGTCGTATGTCGTGTCTCTGCTTCCACCAAATGTCGTATGTCGTGTCTCTGCTTCCACCAAATGTCGTATGTCGTGTCTCTGCTTCCACCAAATGTCGTATGTCGTGTCTCTGCTTCCACCAAATGTCGTATGTCGTGTCTCTGCTTCCACCAAATGTCGTGTCTCTGCTTCCACCAAATGTTACTGCACTAGTTCATATGTCATTCACTTGCTCCGCCATGTTACTCGTCAATGTAGGGTAACGTGATTTGGTAAAGAAGTTTGGAGGAAGATTGCACGGACCGATTTTTACATTTTATTTAATTTGCGTACACCTAATTGTTTACTTCATACGTTTATAATTAGTCAGCGACGTAATTTTTCGAAATATTTGTTTGAAAACAAAAACCTATTTAAAAAAATAGACGTTTATTATCATTTAAAAATAATAATACCGAAGGTAGACAACTGGACAGCAACGCCCACGCCACTGTCAGATGCGATACATATTTAACGGAAATATTACAAGGAAACACAGCCCAAGAAACAGAGTTAATATTCAATGACAGTAAACAAAACAGTGGAGGTGTTGGTGTCACTGGCGACACACCCCGTGACAGTTAAAATTAGAACAACAAGCCAGTCGTGTGTCCATCTGTCAGAAGTGACAGTCTTTCACGTGACTTGACGGCTTCACCGTCGGTTGTAGAAGTTGACGCCGAATATATGGACCGACATCCGCGATTGGTCCAGAAGCTTCTTAAAATAGATTAGCGCGCACGAAAATCAATTAGTTAACTGTAAAGTAGACAATAGAAATAGACTTTGGGGGAAATGAGGCTGAAAGTTGAATGTTGTCCATTCGTTTTGGTTTTTAAAGAATTTTTTTGTTCTTGTGTCACAGAGTAATTATTGCTGTCATGGAAGATAATGCTTCTTGGTGAAGTTTTTAAAATATATATGTTGACATTTTTAGCATGTTTTTGTGTGCTAATTACCGTTTAGTTTAATAGAGCCATAAGACAACTTTTTTATATGTCCAGCTTTGTATGAAAATATTGTTGGAATACAATTCGCTAATAGTGAAAATAAAGTCGAATGACGGTCTACATGTCAGGTGAAGTAGAGTGCACCTGTTATTGTGACTCCGGCTGTGCATAGTGTCGTCAGTCCAAAGTCCAGGTGTCTCTACTTTCCGTAGCTTGATTCAGGGACTAATCAGAGCTGAGTGGACGCAGAGAACTTAAGACTTTCACGGTAGTAATTGTGCGCTCTTGTGCTCGACCATTCCGCCTCTAATTAAAGTGATAAAAAATACTAAAATCCGCAATGAGCAGAAAGATTTTGTTTTGTATTTTGGTTTTGTTTTGACAATTTTTTTTTGCCTTATTGGAGCTTTATAATGTAGGTTATATTCTGAATTTGTTTTATCTTTATTGTTGTGTTCTTAGTTTTGTCGGTTCTTGGATGGTTACAAAGTACTGTGTCCATGTTTTTTTAAAAACAAGTTTTTATTTAGATCACAATGCTGTTTGCGTGTTGGTGGTTAAATCTGGTAACTCAATTACTCAATAGTCACATAGAGAGCAATTTCTTCTAGATAATCTTTTTTGCCTTAAGCGAATGAAATACCATAATTTTAATCTTATAATTCTTATTAGATGGTCAATTGCGTTTGTGTTAGAATTGCGCGTCCACTTATAAAGTAGATTATATCTAGTTTTATGTAATTGTTGGACGGTCTGTTTGAATGGTAGAGTGCATAAATGCTAAGCCGTAAGTCTGGAGTTCGGTTCCCATCCTTGATGGTACCTAAATCCTTGTTAGAGAAAACAACGGCGTCTGGGCAAAGAACGGACCACACTATCTATTCCTTGTCGAACTCTCAAAATATGTGAAATTCACTTTATCTCTCCATGAACGTTCAATACCTAAAGGTTTACATTACGTTCTGTAAAAAGTTGTGGCACTTAATGCTTTACTCGAAACTCTAGAGTTTGGATCACGGGTTCGATTCCATTGTAGATCCCTGAGTCGACTCAGTTCTAATTGATACCTGACGCAAGGGAGTGTGAAGTACAGACGGTTGGGCATATTGCTGGCTACATTTGGCGAGGGATGAACTGCTTATGCTCAAAGCCCATAATGCCTGAAAGTGACATTTTTTTTCCTTTATGTTTATTTTTATAATTAATTTAATTCACCAGTTAGTGCGATAATTAATTTAACTCTTTTTTTAAAATTTATAGTTGATGTCCCTCGTCTGTGCTATAATTAGAGTTAGCAACATAGTGGAGGCGTAGTGACCTTGTTGTCGTGACGAACTGCGTTAGGGAAAACCAACAACCTTTAACAATTACTCTACTAGGTTCAACGACCTTTGTAGCTTGAGTTTTTCCCTCATTTTCAGTCTCGAAACATTTGAGGGGGTAGGCTCCGGAAAAAACGGGGAAAAAAACTTCTTAATTGATTAGCTTTTTTCATTTATTTGTGTATGTATATGTTAGGGTACTTAAGGGAAAATATTTGCAAGCACCAGGGTCTCTTCTGAAAATATAGTTGCCATGGCAACGGTGGCCATCTTAAAAAAACAACCTTTTGTGGAGGTCTAAAATTTCATAAACTAACACATATACCGGCCATATCATCGTTTATCCTTCTTTTACTAACACTAATAGAGTCAGCTGGCTAGTTTTTGTAACAGAAAAACCGCTATAAATTTTTTTTCAAATTTTTTTAAAATGGTGAAATATCATTAAATTTAGCATTAATTTCAATGGAATTTCACCATACCAAATTTTAAAAATTCAAAAAAAAAAATAAAAAAATAAAAAAATGCTAGTGTTAATGGTCAGTTAGACATTATATAATGTAAGAAGTCGTTGTGATACCTTTACACTTGGGAATTAAAAATGGATGACCCAATTTTCTTAGTCAAATTAGTTCAAAGCTATTTTTTCTCCATTTTATTTATTTACGTCATAATGATAATAGTTTCCTTTGAATTGAGATCTCAAAACATGTTCTATTTTCTGTAATGAATTGTGCAGTTCTATTCTTAAGACAGTATGTGAGAAAAATAACCCGTGGTTGTAATTGTTTTTATTCTATTTGACTCAACAACATACATAGCATGAAGTAAAAAGTGAAAGTAAACTTCAGTTGTGGTCTACATGATTGAAAAAAAAAGAACTAATAACTTAGAAACCAATTATCGACATCCAATCCGCAAAGTTTATTCTTTCAATCTCATAATAAACTATAACCCTAACATCACTATCCGCATCTTCATAAAAGACGTCGACTGATCCGCTCATAAATCTTCCACTGTTTTACTTCGCTTTAATTCGTTATGTTTCTCGCTGGTTTTGTTGAAATTTTTTCTCCATTTTTTTTTCTTTCTCATCATAAAAGATGATGATAACGATTGTTTCAATCAACCTTTGTTCCCTTGGTTTTTTTTTTACTCGTATAGAGAAAGGATGTAAAGGAAGTATTGTAATGTAAT